TCAAAACATAAAGCAAAAAAAGAGAAGTGCGAATTCAATTGAGATGAGAAATGGGCGAACATTTGAAACCAATCATCCCCAGGGAACCAGAAAACACAAAATAAGAGTTTTCCGGCAAAAAATGAGAAGAAAAATGGTAAGGATTAGGACGGCCACAGCAGGTTTCAAACATCACATAGAGCTGAGGCAGACATCCTGGGAAAAATGAGGATTAGAAATTAGTAGACTGATTTAATTCCGTATTTAAAAATAAGCCAGAAAAAAAAAATGAAATGTTGGGTCAGCTACTTTTGGCGTCATTCGCCCAGGAGTTAGTTTGGGTCGGATGTAGACCATCTCAAATTGGGAATTATTCATCTCGTCGCAAACCTCAATTTTAAAATTTATTAAGTATCTTTATTTGAATTTTGAATTATTAGCGTTCTTAATTTCCTTAAGCTGAATGAACAATTTTGAAAATAAAAGCTAATAGATTCATTTGTCTACCGCTGTATTCCACCCACAATTTCTTCGAATAAATAAGCCAATCGAGTTATTCGACAATTATTTTTGTGTACAATTGCATTTTTCTATGCATTTCGGGAGCAAAATTGAATGAATATTGCCAATTGTTATTGGTTTCAAATGAATTTCTACTAAAATTCTCTCTCTCTCTCTCTCTCTCTCTCTGTATGAATTTTTGAACATTCTTTGTAAAAATTATTTATAATTAATTTTAAAGCCGATGAACACAAATGAACATGAATAAAAGAAACAAAAAAAACAGACATATCGGACTCGCTAAATAAATCTAATAAATCTGCGGCTAATCCTTCTCACATTCGCATCAAGAAGGCGACAATGATTAAGATGAAAAAATGACGAAGAGCTGGAGCCGAAGAGAAGAAAAAAGAAATTGTTCGTTATTATTCACAAAAGTCTAAACCAGCGCGAAAAGTTGCGAGCAGATGAAACAACAAAAACATGAAGAAAAAAACTGAGAAAAAAAAGCAAGTTGCGAGAGCCGGATTAACACTTTGGAAAAAAAATATCGGAATTCATTTCGACTGCCAAATATGGTAATCAATCAAAATGACTGAAAATTCGCGTGTACTTCAACAGGAAAAAACGAGCAAAAGAACAATAGGTGAGTTGTAGACAAAAGAATGTAAAAGTTTGGCGAAATTCTAAACAAAAATGTATGAATGACAAATCATTAACGAGTTTAACGGTGTATTGCGGCTGTTTCAATGTAATTAAAATAAAAATAGTGTTTTCACATTTTATTGATCAAACTTAATGATCCACAAAAAAAGTTTTTTTTGTTTCGTATGACGATTATTTTAAAAAATCAATCTTAACTATATATGTAAATATGAACACTGATCGACCTCTTTATCCTTCAACAAATGCCCTCCCACCATTCTGCATTAATCCGCTCTAATTGCTTAGATTAGCAATTCAACCGCATGTTCTTGTTCTCGGTGTAGAAATAATCTTTTTTGTTGAGTCCTTTAGAACGAGCCAACGTATGAGTTTAGACACACACTAGTAACTGAGTTGAATATCAAGGGTTTTATATCGCTCTCTGGCGTCTGACCGCCTTCGGAATTCTTTTTTGAGACTAGCGAGATACGAAATGTGCTGGTGGCCGCGGTGAAGTCATTTGGCAGCTGGCGAATTGAGGAGTCTCGCTTTGTCATTGATTCCAATAAGTACATCTGCTTGTAACTTGCCCAAAGTGATTCTCGACTTCAACTCCAGTTTTTAGCCAAAGCCCGACGTGCAGGAATTCCGGTCCGTTGAAACTATTGAACCAAACGAGAATCTGGATGTTCTCCGCCAGCCGTCGTCGTCGTCCATTCTGATTGCGCGAACTTCCTCTTGATTTGCCAGTGTATTGAATAAGGAACCTGTGAATTGTGATTGCAGAAATTCGATTCGACGTCGGAACTCGATTGGATAAAGTCTTGAGCGGCATTGATACGATGATCCTGGTCTGAGTGACGTCGTCCAAAGTCGATCAATCCAGTCAGAGAATGTCTTCGTACCGTGAATACCAGATTTCAAATGTGGTTCCTTCATAGGAGAATGTCGATGGTGTTCAGCGATTTGATTAGTCCGGGTTGGTGGCGCGGAAGCGCCAGGCGAAGTGCCTGGTCGTCCTTCCATGAACAGTTTGGTGAGTTCTCGAACGAAGTCCTGGTTCCCGCTTACTCTGCCAAGAGCAAAGTTTGACAGCCAACTTAGGAATATACTAACTGAGCGTGACAAGGGGTTTTTATTATATATCGAATTTAATCTTGATAAGATCCTATCTCACGTGATGTGTCACGATTCCAACAATCTACACTTAAATTGTTAGGCTTTTCACTCATTCAACCGAAAATCACCTTGCAGCTCGCCAATGACTTTGTGAAGAAAGCTCGACATGACCCCCTCTAAATATTGCGTTCACCATTTGAAACAATGCTAAGTTACGACTTATCCTGATTTGTTTTTCTTGTCTTCAAAATATGTTAACAACTTTTTTTTTGCAATTGCAAAGCGCGAGGATCCCAAACTACTCAGGCAAATCAAATAAAATATTTTGAGAATCAAATATTCAATAATAAACTCTAAAATATTTTGAGAAATTCTAAAGTTTATTGATATTTTCGAAAACTTGAGACTCGATAAACGTAAAAATATTTTTTTTTTAATTTTATAAGATTTTCTAAAATTTATTGAGCAAATTCTAAATTATTTCAATAAATTCTAAAATCTTATAATAATTTCTAAAGTTGATTGAGAAAAATCTAAAATATTATAGAGAAACGTTAGTTTCTCATTGAATCTCAAAATATTTTATTCGATTTACCTGAGTAGTGTCGAGCAGAAAAAAAAAAGATTTTCAAAATAAATAAAATACGTAGCAAGTGGAACAAGTAGAAATACCAAGTTTCAAGTCTCCAACTCCTGGAACTGACCGAATGGTAAACTCTTCAACGATACTCCAAACCTGTTGGGTTGATGCTGTGCGTGTATTTTATTCTCCTGATGGCTTATCCATATATATTCTAAGCTTCTGGACATGTTCATTATCGGAAGGTGAATAACTAGTGTCCGAATTATTCACTATGGAGTGAGAAAGACTAAGAAAATCCAGTAAGTCATTGATTTATACTACTTTCTACTTACTGGCTGATTTTTATTGCCACTTTTGGCACTCTAATTATATCAAACTTTTCGGATAGGAAACAATTTGGAAGATCGATTACGTCGTTCCTTGAACATCACAAGCGCGAGTCCGACAAGACGAAATTCATTTTTGTTGTTGTTGAAAAATAAGAACAATTTTTGCGATGATTTGTCTAGTTCGGACGTTTTTTTGGTTTGGTTTATAAAAATTGTTGTTGGCCTCAAAACTTTAAATTTCATTAATTGAGCATTATGAGAGATAAGAAGGAAAATCAAAGAAAATAGGCCTTAAAATGACTCAAAATTGCAAAAATTGATGGTGGGCGAAAAGGTGGAACTGGAACGGCGGCAAAATTTCCATAATTGAGGGCCATTATAAATAAAACAACTCGAATTGGTTGAAGAAACATGAAGAAAATTGGTTGCATTTCTCTCGATCTCGTTTTATTTCGCTCAATTGAGCAAGAATAGCAAAGAAGTAGGATATAAAATTGCAGACATACGAGCATCCGGAACGGATTTCGATTATTGTTCTTTAAGAGTTTACTTTTTATCAAATAATGAACCAACTTGTGAACAAATGCAAAAACGTTGAGATGTAAGCTCATTTGATTGAATGAGTGAAGGAGAAAAGCCTAACAATTTAATTGTAGATGATTACTTGTGCACCGAGAACAAGAAAATGCGGTTGAATTGCTAATCTAAGCAATTAGAGCGGATTAATGAAGAATGTTGGGAGGGCATTTGTTGAAGGAGTAAGAGGTCGAAAATGCTGATCAAAGTTGTGTTTAATTCAAATGATTGCCAGATCGCGCATCATATTTCCATATTTGGATAAGATTGAAATGAATGTTGAACACTTTGGATACATTGAGAAAACAAAATTGTTTAAGAACGGATTCAAATAAATGCGAATAAATCAGGGATTGGCCTGCCGCACTGGTTGATGGACTCCAAATTTTTCATCCAGAGTTTAACTCATGGGGCATTTTGTTCTACGGTTTCAAAAGATTGACTTTTTTTCCAACAGGTAGGCATTTTCACGTAAAAGTCAACCGAAGACAGAAGTGCATCATCGTTCTAACTCATTCTTATCATAGAGAACTAATTCATTCGACATTAATGTTGACGGTACTGGAAATTAAAAGAAAATCACTTTGGGACCTCCTAATTCAAATTCGTATCTAAGGTTCCAATTTTGAATTATCGTCTGTTTAGAATGTCAACACAAAATTCAGGTGACCACCATTTGATAATCTCATTAAATCTATGCTGATGTTGGAAATAAATTCAAAAATTCGGAAAATGAAAATGGCACGATCAGATTGTTTTTTTTTCTTTTCCATTTAAATTTTTCCACTTCGAAAACAGTGTCACTTGAAACAAGAATCGCTATAAAACACCATTAAGCGCATTAAATATTTCGACAATAAAATTAAAATTTCATGTCGAATTTCGAATTCAGACAGTCGTTTTCATGTCTATTCGTTTTCATTAATTTTCGTAATCGCAGCATCAAAAATTTGTTCTGTTTACAGTAATAGGATTACGTGAAAATCACAAAAATTGTGTGTGTATTTGGTGTCATCAGTGTTCCGGGAGGCCACCGTTAATCCGTACCAACTCCTTCATTAATTTGCTCTTAATTTTCGGAAGTGCTCTTATCAATTCTCTCCTCCAAATTCGACCGATATCAATCGAATCATTTTTGCTCGCTTTTTTTTCAAGTCTTCATTTTTTTTGTTGGTCGATTATTTATGTATGTGCTACTACAATAAGCAAAGAAAAAGAGAAAAACGAAACATTCGATATTTGATCAATGAATCATCGCTGTTTTCAGAATGCCGCTCGAATTCTTCTTCTACCTGTTCCTCGGCATTTTTCTCTTCACATTGTCCCTTTTCCTATTAATCACGATTTTGGTGAATTCGAGACTACGCGATAAATATTCGATATTCTCAGGCAATATTGATTCGTTTCGAACGACACAATTCATTCTAATCAAATTGCAGTCAAATTTTTGGTTGATGTCATTCTCGGTTTGTTCTTGATTATTCTCGCTTGTCTGGATCGCAATTCGAGCGAAAGAGTATGCGGAGCAACACTTGTTCTCAGCTCTTCTATACCATTGCTACAGGTGATTCGAGATATTTTCAAAATCATATTTGGGCCGGAAAATTGAAATAAATTGATTGCTCTTCGAGCCCTTAAATAAATACTATTCTAGGTGCTTCTTTTGCTATGTGAAGTCATCGATTGGTCGTTAGCAGCCTTCTCGCCGGTCTATTTCCATCAATCTAGTCTATTTTCCCGGGTTCTTCCATTCATCGCAGGCGCTGTTTGCTATTTTGTGATTCTAACTGCCCTGGTTGTCATTGGTATTTTCAAAGTTGAATTTCAAAAAAAAAAATGCTCGAAATCTCCTCCAATTCTCAGATGCCACTGTTCCGATGCATTCGTGCACTCGTTCGCCGGAAGCCTCAGCGGTCATCACATGCTACGATTTCTCATTGGCGATAACAACAGTCTGTGTGATTATTCTCTCAGTATTGTTGCATAAAAATCTCAACAGCTCATATTTCAAACCCGTCATGGTAATGTTTTTGTGCGTCAGCAGAACTGGTCGTTTTCATCAAACAGTCCAAAATTGTCGAATTTGGTCGTATGATTTTGAAGGGCACTCAAAAAAGAGAGATAGAGAGAATCAAAGAATACAAATTATTTTCGAGATCAAAATTTCGGGAAATTTACAAAAGAGATCAACCTAATCATCGATTTTCATTCATTTTTTCAGCTCCATTTTCTTGCTACAATATTTCTCGAGGAGATTCCATTACTCGCTTGTATCATCTTAAAATACTACAATCCGGTAAGAATTTATTCAGAATCGTTCTTTTTTTTGCATTAAAAATTCAGAAAAAGGCGATATTTGCTGCCGATCTCACCAATTGGCTCGTCTGTGTTCACTCAATTTTTCACACCGCCTACTTCATTGGTAATCATCAAGATTTTCGGGTGTGTTCATTCGCGATCGTCTATGATTTTTTGTACGAATCGTTTTCAGGAAATCATGTACAGTAAAATGCAACGGTTCTCTCGAAAATTGGCAGGAAAATAATGGATTCGGGTCGACGCAAAAAAAATTTGAATGAAACGGGTCGAGAGTCGCATATTAACGAATGTCTATCATCGTTTTCAAACTCACCTCATATATCGAATATAATTATATCGCTGAAACAGCGACTCTTTTTTTTATTTTGATCGTTATTGCTGTTTGACGGCAAAGTTTAAACAATAAATATTGAATTTTTTGAAGTTCTGCTGTTCATTGAATTTTATAAATCCCAATCGAAAACGAAGGGCTCTAAATTAATTTATAATTTGCATAAAAATTATTGATATAAATATGAAATCATCTTCGACCTCTTTTATTTTTAATTTTTAATTCTTTCAATTATTTAGACATGTGATGACAATTTCCGATAAAACTAGGCGATTGTTATTTTTCAGACCCATTTTTTACACTTAATCGCGAGTTCCTCATTAATTTGAAAAAGCAATCAACTGCGCAATGATTTGAATGAACTTGTCTCGGGTCAGACGCTCGTCGACCGGAAGCTTCGGAATGATACCGGTGGCCGTGCGAGCAACTCGTCGTAATCCGCATTGTAAGCCGTGTAAACATGCGCCACACGTTCTCATCATCATTCCTCGTTTTGACGTCGATGCCGTTTTGCATATTGAACAAGTGTCGTCCTTGTTTCGACGCAATCACTTCGGCGTGCTTTTATTTCACATCTATCGATTTCAGTTTTATAATCCAAAACATTATAGTTTCGATTGTTGTCTCATTCAGCCTAATATGATAAACCGAGTGAAACCAAAACAAACGAATTTCTCCACATTACTGGGTCGAAATTTAGGCAACCCTGTATTTATATTAAGCGAATGTTATTAATTAATACCATAATGAATATGTATTCCCATCCTAATCAAGCATTGAAAATATCTTTTTTTTTTTCAATTTGGCTTATCTCAATGTTTATATCATATCTTCTTCAGGATTCGCTCTTCGGCTATTTAATCTCTCTACGGAATGTTCATCAATTAATTAATAGAATATGGTTTCAGAATTTGGATTAATTGCACCGTCTCCCGCCAGTAAGAATGAAGTTGACGAAGTGGCAGGAGGTTCTTAAATTTTGCGGCGAGAACAAGCTTCTCGTTATGACGATGTTCAGTGTATTTCTAGGGGTAGTTCTAGGTATATTCATTATCGAACCGTCATAATCAAATTTAGTATTATTGAAAAAAAAAACACTTGTTCAGGATTCGCGCTTCGGCCATTTAATCTCTCACCGGAAACGCTGCAGCTCATCAATTTTCCCGGTGAAATTTTCATGCAAGTTCTCAAAATGATGATTTTGCCACTAATTTTTTCATCGCTAATTTCTGGTAAATTATCCCATTCATTTGTTTGTATCGTGATTATTTTTTTTCCAGCTCTCGCTCAAATGGATGCCAAAGAATCCGGACAAATGGGTGTTTGCACAGTAGCTTATTACCTCACAACAGCAACAATGGCTACAGTGGTATGGATTTCGGATTATCGCTATCAGATTCACATTGTTTTCGAATTCAGCTCGGCATTATTCTAGTTACTGTAATTCATCCAGGAGATCCTTCGATTAAAGGCACAGATGTGAGTGATGTGCCAACTGGAGGAAAGGTCTCTCCACTTGACACGTTTCTTGATTTAGTCAGGTAAATCGGAGACGACTGAATGATTGGTATCTGAAAATTTTAGAAATATGTTTCCTGAGAATATCGTTCAAGCAACCTTCGAAAGAATGCAGACGACTTATGTGGCCACTAGGCCTAAAATAGCTTCTAAAAATGGAAGTATTGAGAATATTATTGTAAAACGAGACATAGCAATGACAAAAGGTTTTTCTAAAAAAACACCCAAATTATTACGAATTATTTGTTCAAGGAATGAACATTCTTGGAATAATCGTGTTCTGCACCGGTTTCGGAATCGTGATGTCACAACTTGGCGAACGTGCTCGAATCGTCGTCGACTTCTTCGTAATTCTCGACGCTGTCATTATGCGTTGGGTTGTCACACTGATGTGGTTCGCACCATTGGGAATCACGTGTCTCATCTGCGGAAATCTTCTCGAACTCGACGATTTATCCGATATTGCGACCGTCTTAGCTCTTTATACATTCACAGTTTCCGCGGGATTAATCATTCACACAATCACCACTGTTCCCGTTATGTATTTTCTGATCACTCGCAAGAACCCGATTCCAATATTTAAAGGAACAATCCAGGCGTTTGTGACCGCTTTTGGAACAGCCTCCAGGTACTTTAATAGTTATTCAATTTGAACTTCGACGTGTGTTATGTAGCGGAGCGGCCCTTCCGATGTCAATGCAATGTCTCGAAGAGCAATGCGGCGTTGATCGTCGAATTTCAAGATTTGTGCTTCCATTGGGAAGTACAATAAACATGGATGGAAACGCGTTGTACGAAGCGGTCGCCGTGATTTTCATTGCTCAACTAAACAACGTGCAGCTCTCGTTCGCGGAAATATTGACTGTCAGGTTTGTTTGATTTTTCGGCATTTCTAAAAACGGATTCGTCTGACTTTAATTTTCATGACGATTGCAGTATTACTGCGACCGTCGCCTCCATCGGACTCGGATCCGTACCAGCCGGTCTTGTTTCGATCCTTCTCATTCTCAACACTGTTGGTCTTCCGATTCGCGATGTGTCTATGCTTTTCACAGTTGATTGGTTCTTGTAAGTTGACCATCTGAATACTCGAATATTCTGATTAGGGATCGCCTTCGAACCGCCGTCAACGTTCTCGGCGATGCTTATGCGGCCGCTGCTGTTCAGCACGTGCTGCAGGAAAAGCTCGACAAAACTGACGCGAGACACGATTACAAATCAGAAATCAAAGAGGAAATTGAAATGCTCAAGTCAGCAGCGACCAGTCGACGCCCATCTTTCACGATGACTGGAGCTTCGCATGAGCAGCTGCTCAATGAACATACAGCAGCCAGTTCAAGGATAGGATCGAGAAGACCGTCGTCGACCAACATCCATTTGACTTGGAGAGAGCATCCGTACACACCTCTTCCAAATGTTGAAAACGTTTAAATTACAGGGTGTCATTTAAGTTCCCGCACAAAAGTTAGACGCCATGAAAAGCTTGGCTGTCGCACTTTTCGTGCACCAATACAATTTATTTTTGTTAAATAAGGTATATTTTACTTACTTTCCAAGTTTCACCTCATTCGGATGTGTTTCCGAGAAATGGCGAAGGCTAACATCCATTGCGCTTCCATTATCGAACTTCATAAGCGAAATGAGCGCCCGACAGAGATCATTCAACGCCTCGGTGTGCCTCGTAGAACGGTTTAAGACACCAACAAACGTTTCAAGGAGCTAAATACGACCAGTGACCTTCCCAGACAAGGAAGACTCGTCTCAGTAACCACTCCTCAGAAGATCAACGCCGTCAAAACGAGGATCAGGCGAAAACCGCACAGGAGCATAAGAAAGATGGCGTCAGACATGGGAATGAGCATCTTCGCTATGGAACAAATCGTCAAAACAAAGCTTGTACTGACCCCATATCGTGTCCAAAAAGTGGCAATTCTATCGGCCGTCAACAAGCAGAGACGCTTCGAAAAAGCAAAACAACTTTTTGCTCGCACGCGGTCTGGAGAACACCTCGCCACTGTCTTCTCCGACGAGAAGCTGTTCACTGTGGAGGCGGCATTCAACTCACAAAACCATTGAGTACTTGCCCAGACATCCCAGCAAGCTTCAGAGAAAGGAATAACAATTTATCCAGCCTCACATCCTGCCAGTGTGATTGTTTTCGGTGCCATCTGCTCAACCGGGAAGTGCCCCTGGTATTCGTGGATCAGGTGGTGAAAGTGAACAAAGAAGTCTACGTTCGGGACATTTTGGGGAAGCATATGATGCCCTGGGCCCAAACGCATTTCGGTGGGAAGATATGGGTCTTTCAACAGGACGGAGCACCCGCCCCTACTGCCAAAACTACTCAGGAGTGGTGCCAGACCCATTTTCCCGACTTCATCAAGTCATCCGAATAGCCTGCTTGCTCCCCAGACCTGAACCCGCTTGACTTCTCCGTGATGGGGTCTTGCAGGAGAAGGTCAACGCAAAACCCCACTCAAGTGTAGAGACTCTGAAGAAGACATTACTGGCGGAATGGGACAATCTTTCCATCGAATACCTGCGTACCACAGTCACATCCTACCCGAAGCGTCTCCGCGAAGTCATAGCTGCGAAAAGAGGCCGAATCGAAAAGAGTTAATAGATAATTATTTGTTGTACTATAGATAAAAAATATTTCGAGTCTCGTTTGATTTGGACTTTTAGTTTCAGAAATATACGTCTTCAAAGTTGTGCGGGAACTTAAATGACACCCTGTATTTGTTTTATTCTATTATTTTTATTATTCTTTTTTTTTTGCTCAACGCATTCCGTTCGCATGTGGTATTTGTAGCTTGTCAATTGGCTAACTTGCCGGTTATTCTCAATGTTATTATGAGAATCTTTTTCAAAAATGTACATACATTTTCCAGTCCAGAAATTGAATCGAAAACAAAATAATTTATAATAGAATAAAATTTGAAAATAATGAAGCAAAAAGAAAATTGTTTGTCGAAATTACATTTTCATTGGAAATGGCTAGTCGATAATTTTAAACTGGAAAACTATTATAACTGCTGAAAATGGTTAACAGAGCAATTCGAAAAATGTGTTCAGTTGGATGGGTCAAACTCGAGTCCAAGTCCGAACTTGTGGGCATCATTAGAGACGAGATTGAATTGAGTGGAGAGAGTGAGCTTGAGAGCTGGCGACAATGCATGTGTAGCAGCGACAGCAACTTGGGAGCTGTTGTTAACCTTGGCGCGAATGATAAGATCGCGGTTTGGAGAGTACTTCGTGGCAAGAGCATAGTCGGCTCCATTGCCTCCCACCTACAATAACTGGCATTTAAAAACAAAATTTAATTCCAGATATGCTTACCTTCCATCCCAATTGGGTTCCAAGCTCAACATTTGGAGCGACCTTGTGATACAACGAAGCTCCAAAATCAGTCGAGTTGACAACGAAAGAGTGAAGAGTATATTGCTTCGTGGCATGTCCGAAAGCCAACGAAGTCGATGAGAGCTTGTTGCTTGAGGTATCGAAAGAAGCAGCAGCTCCGAATAACCATCCCTCGCGGGAGAAGACTCCAGCGGCGTTGATCACTGGGGTAGAGGTGAGAGCAACGTCGGCGGTGATCTAAATTGAAAAGTAAAATATCAATATACCTTCTTCTAGTTGCACACTATTTGTCTAGGAAGATATTTACAAAAATTATATTAACCCTCATATACTCTTCCTTCCAATCAATCTTGATGCGCGTGTTTCCGAATTGTTCGCCTAACACGTGTACAAGCGCACTCACCCTAGCGGTTGGGAGAGCCCAGTCAGCCTTCAGCTTTCCGCTTCTCTTTCCGGCGTGGGGTGCGTAGAGCGAGTCGAAAGTGAGTTTAAGTCCACGACCGAACTGCTCGCTCACTTCAACAACAGTTCCGAGTTGGTTCTCGGTGTTCCATTTCTCAGTCAAGGTGATTCCTAGAAAATATTTACACGTAACCGTGAATGTCAATTTGAATACAAACCATATTGTGGGATCTTGTACTTAACATCGAGATTTCCAGCAAGCTTTCCGGATCCAATGTTATGAGCAGCAGCCGACTTGAATTCGACTTCCTTATTATCTCCTGCTTTGGTGGTGGAGTCGATCTTAAGGAATCCAAAGTCTGAAAAAAATTATAGTGAAATCGACTTGTTCGCATTACTCACTGTATCCCTTATTGAAAAGATCCTTAGCGGATTTTCCAAGATCAGCGAACGTTGGTGGCGACATAGCTGAAATGATATTTGTTCAATGAAGGATCAGGTCAACAAAAGATGTTCAGCTATCACGAGGTTGTCACACAATCAAATTCTTTAAACGACAGCTGACCATAGAAATCAAGATAAAAACGATAGTAAAAAGTAAAGTGTAGATAATAAAGAAAATAAAATCCAAAATTTCAAAGGCACACTAATGTGTGTCATAAAAGGTAAAATCATTTGAAGTTTGTTTTTTGAGCGAAGGCAAAGGGTCAAGAAGAAATTAGAGATCATATCTCTTTGAAACCAAGACAATTCCTTATCATAGAGTTGTCACCACCAATCACTTATTCTTGCAGAAGTGATAGGAATGCCGCGATTTTTTTCATTTGAAAAAAAACTACCGATTTTAATAAAGAAAAACTAATGTATAGCGTAAATTACAGATACTTCCAAATTATTTTGTATTTATGAGTTGAAAACTTCTTATTTTATTTAAAATTTGAAAAAAAAATTCATTGCAGAATCGAACAATTGAGAAACTGCAATAGAAACTGCAAGAGAAAAATGAAAATCGAACTGCCGCTGGCCGCCCGTCAAAGTAACCGACGAGGGAGTTCGCATGGTGAAGAGACGGCAGATGATCGTCAATGGCAGATGATCGTCAATGTCGTCAAATGCGGTGCGTATACGCACCGCATTTGACGACATTGAATTCAAATTTTTTATCAAAAATTTGTTTGGCGTGGGCGATGCTTGATATAGGTTGAAATTTTGCTGTCATCATCGGAAACTGTTTTTGGAAATATTTTAAAATAAAAAAAAGTCGTTCAATAAATAATTTTTAAGATAAAAATTGCAATTGAATTTCAGGCTTTTGTAAAATGGATTTACGTAAAGGAGCGGAGAATCCACGATACGCAGTGAATAATACAATCGTTGGATTTAACACCTCTCAGGAAAAACATCGAAACACAATAAACGAATATCATCCAGAATCTTCAGATCGTATAAAATGCATAAAGAAAGTTTTTGAAGATTCAAATTTATTGGAGAAATGTAAAGTTCTTACGGTAATATGGAACACTGATTAAACTCAAAAGTCTATGATTTAGGATTTTCCAGAATTGGACACAAGAAAATTGCACGAAATTCATACAAAAGAATATATCGAAAAACTGCAGATTGTAAAACATCTTGAGCAAACTGAAATAAATTCCTTTTGCTCTGAATTCGATTCAGTGTTTATGACACAGGAAACAGTCGAAGCTGCCAAAGAAGGAGTTGCCTGCGTACGGGAATTAGCATATCAAATCGCAATAGGTGAAGCAACAAATGGCTTTGCCGTTGTTAGGCCACCAGGACATCATGCAGACGAAAAAGAAGCTTGTGGGTTCTGCATTTTCAACAATGTTGCACAAGCTGCATCAGTCGCATTGGAATGTGGAGCAAAAAGGTAAATGTTATTTTTTTAATAGAAATATTTGAAAATCAGTTACTTTAAATTTTTAATGTGGGTTTTCTAATTTTAGAGTTTTAATTGTCGATCTTGATGTACACCACGGACAAGGAACCCAACGAATATTCTATGAAGACAAGCGTGTGCTTTACTTCTCAATCCATCGATACCAACATGGAACTTATTGGCCCCATTTACCGGAATCTGATTTCGATCATATTGGAAAGGACGAAGGTCTCTATTACAATGCAAATGTGCCGTTGAATGAAACTGGATGTGGAGATTCTGATTATTTGGCTATTTTCTTCAATGTTCTTCTCCCAATGGCAATTCAATTTAATCCACACTTTGTCATTGTGTCTGCTGGATTCGATTCCCTTCAAGGAGATCCGATTGGACAAATGAACCTTACTCCAGATGGTTATTCACATCTTATTCATCATCTAAAACTTTTAGCACAAGGAAGATTATTATTAGTTCTTGAGGTGAAGCAGAATAGAACTTTAAAGAAATTCTTTTTAATCATAGGGAGGATACAATCACGAAGTCAGTGCAGTTGCTGCTCATCGTTGTTTGCGGGTCCTACTTGGAAAATCACCATATCCGATCGATGTTTCCAATCCACCAAAGAAATCGGTCATTAACTCTTGTCTTTCTTCGATCTCAGTTCTTCGTAATTATTGGAATTTGTTCAATTTCTATCCAACTCGTCCCTCGATGCGATTCTCGGAATGGCCAACGTAATTCCATTGCAACATCTTAATATACCAAGAAATAACTTTTTAGAACGAATTCTACCGTAATTTTCAATTATGATCCCAAAAATCGAACACCTGACACTTCAGACATCGATCAAAGAAAATTATTTAAAGTTGATTGGAAGAAAGGCAAGTTTTCAATATTTCGTAAAAAAAAAACTAGAAATTTTTCAGAAAACATCGACTTAGAAACCCGGATTTATATTAATGGTGGTCATGAAAACCATTTTGATGATGATGATGATGATCACCCTGAGAATCCTGAACGAATTCCACGCGTATGTTTCAGTTTTTCTTGGAATCTTAAAATAAATATGAAAACTCATAAAATTTTACAAATAAGTTGAATATTCAATAATTATAACAAGCTCGTCGTGCTTTTTTTTTGAACTCAAAAATTGTTGTTTTCGTATCAACCACATCTGTTTCTTGACATCTGGAAAAGCTTGCGTCAAAAATAACAAAAACACATGGTTCCTATAATTAAACAAATTACAGATTATACGTCAACTGCAGAAATCCGAACTAATTCATTGCTGTACCGAAGTGAACTGCGACAGAGTTGCAACAGACAATGAAATATTACTCGTGCACACGCAAGAAATGCTTGAAAATCTAAAGAGAACTAAATTTATGAGCAAAGAGCAACTCGGAGAGCAAATGCGCGATCATGATTCGATATTCTTCACAAATGAGACATTCGACGTGGCAACAAAAACCGTTGGAACCGTTTTGCAGGTAAATTATAGCAGGTTTATTATCAATTCAAAAACTATTACACCAAATCAGAACCCGTTGACCAAGTTTCCGTATTACAATTCATTGAGACTATTCGATTAATTCGATACTGAAATTTGTTAATGACTTTAAATTGCTCATGAAATCATACAAATTTAACAAAAATTTTGAGCATCTAATCTCGTTTTTTGCCATTTCCGATTTGTTTTTTTACATCATCGTCTTCACTTTTATCCCTAGAAAAAAAGCAAATAATTCCTCGAAAAACTCAAACTTTTTACCTCGTCATTGCAAATTTGTTACGAAGATTTTTGGGCATTAATCCGTCTGAGGCGAGGAGTCGAATGAGCAAAAGCCCATTTATAAAAGCAAATACAATCTCGCCCAGTAGACCTTAATGGATTCGATTGTTCACTGTTACAATGGAACGATTACCATTAGCAAGATAGTAGAGATGCATACGATGGCGATTTGTGAATGCCCAGTAAGCAAATATTAGTTGGAAAACTATACGGAAAAGGAAGAAACTGAAAACAATTTTAGATGTTTCAAAGATTTTCAGTTTAAAAATTGTATTGAATTGATAATCAATATTCGACGATTGATGTGCTTGGGGAGATTTACGTCAGGGCTGTGCGGCAATGGAATTGCCGATTGCCGAAATTGCCGAAATTGCCGATTTTTCAAATTGCCGAATTGCCGAATTGCCGAAGAGAACGTTCGATCGGCAAATTGCCGAATTGCCGGATTGCCGAAATTTTGATTTTCGGCAATTTGCCGAATTGCCGAATTGCCGAAATTTCCGATTGCCGCACAGCCCTGATTTACGTGTACACGTCTTTAATTATGGTCTTGCGTAAGCTGATTTTCCAGTGGCGAGAAAAGAAGAATCTCCCGCCACAGATCAGTCGTCGGATGCCCACTATAGATTTAAACTCCCTTACGTTGTAATATTCAAGTAAACAATCGCCTCATAGACTTTCGGGAATTTTGTAGATAGTCCGCATATTTGCAAAATTGTGCGTGCGTGCAAGAAAATGCTGGAATTAAACATTTTCATGTTTTTTATTCAAATTGTTACCTATTAATTTCCATCAAAAGTGCCCAACTTGTTGCAAATAAGAATCTGTCGGATATTGAAGGGCAAAGAAGTGCTAAACAAGTAGCCGAGTGATGAAAAAGGAGCTCAAGTGTCCATTTCGACCATTCATACGAAAGCATATCAATTGCATCGTGAATGAAGTAGGCGACTGACATAAGTGGTATTTGAGATGCAAATGGACTCCACCATTCAATAATTTCGTGATATGCTTCATATGGATGTGTGAGCATTACTAATAAGTTGAGAGTTCCAACAATTAAAGCATGCAGGAAGCATATTGAGAGATTGTGAAGTCGATAACGCCTAAATTCATATTATTGCTACTGAATAGATAAATCAGTGAGAGAATTCAAAGAAATCAATCCTTATGTTCAACACTCACTTGAATCCTTTGAAACTTTGCCAATAATGTGTTTTGACATAGCGACTCGCGAAGCGAAATAAAACAAAGTATACGAGTATCGGCACTATTACGTGTATCCGGAAAACATTCGAGAAATTCGGACCAACGAGCTCCGGCGGCAACTTTTCCGATCTTTCCTCCATGCTAAATAATAATAGTAAATAGAGCGTTAATGCGAAGAAACGTAATCACGCGAAACGTGTTATCAGTAAATAAATTGAATTGGCTTCTAGAATTTTTTGACAGCTTGCATTAGAATTATGTGTTGTTTCGACGCTGTTGAAAACTCGCTAATTGCTGTTTCCGACGCGGCTTTGAGAAATCTGGACTTAATTATATGTTTACTGGATCGCCATCCGATCTCAGATTAGATTGAATCGAGAGAAAAAGAGTGGTCCGGTAATAAATAAAGGGTTTTTGAGCTAATTTTCGAAATGCACCGATTTGCGTTGATGATAATGAAACTAACTGCTAACGAGCACTTAAAACTAGTCATCAAAAACTAATAAACTTGTTAATCCTAAGGAAATAATTCGATTTCAATGATTTAGGAGGCAAATTCATTTTCTATTCGTCGATTGTGACGAAACGTTCGAAATGAATTGCTTTTAATAGAATCATATATCATACGAGTCATCTAGAAACTTCGTATAAATTGAAATATATTGACTATGAGAGTAAAAAAAATTATGAAAAAGTTGAGAAGTTTTGTTTGAATTGTTACGAGTCATAAAATTGTTGTATAAACATGATCGCCTAAGCAAATATCGAGCGATAGTTGTTTTTTTTTGCTGAAAATGTTGTGTTGATGTTTGCCGGAAATGGTGAAATGTTGCATTCGTAAAAGGACAAGGTGCACAAGGAATGCAACAATGGCAGGAAACAAGCAAAAATTTAGAAAATTGAGTAGAAACAATAGAACGAAACGTGAATGATTTATTTCGAAACCGCTTTGGTTCTCTATTTTCCTGGTCTATTAGAAACCACCCCCACTTTTTAACCCCCACCCCTGCTATTCCACCCCGACTTTTTAACCCCTCCTTTTATTTATGATACCACCCCCACTTTTTCACCCCCTATTTTTAAGTTTCACCCCCACTTCTTCGCCGCACTTCAAAATTTGCAGTTTCTAACAATAATGTTTAGCAGTAAAATTTTTTAAATTTTTTTTAAATTTGCAATAATTCAAGTTATCAAGAGGAGATTCGCAGGACTGATGTCTAGATTTTTCAGAAACTATGTAGTGTTCTTATGAAAGGCTGAAAATTTTAACAAGAAATGAACTATTCTCGAAAGACCCGGTTCAGAAAGATTTCGTATTTCGTAAGCTTTTCGTATTTTCCAACAATTGTCAATATTTCAAGTGTCCAATTGTACATTTTGATATCAAGCTTTTCAAGCCTACATAGTTTCTGAAAAATCTAATTTAGACATCAATTTTGCCAATTTCCTCTTGATAACTTGAATTATTGCAAATTAAAAAAATTTTTTAACTTACTGCTAAACATTACTGTTAGAAACTGCAAATTTTGAAGTGCGGCGAAGAAGTGGGGGTGAAACCTAAAAATTGGGGGTGAAAAAGTGGGGGTGGTATCATAAATAAAAGGAGGGGTTAAAAAGTCGGGGTGGAATAGCAAGGGTGGGGGTTAAAAAGTGGGGGTGGTTTCTAATAGACCTATTTTCCTGTCTGATATTTGCTTCTCAATTACATCCATTTTCCCATCTTTCGATTTTAAAACGTGCCTAGTTCGCGCAGAAATTAAAAAATTGTTTTTTTTCCTTTGGGAAAAAACGATGAAAAGGAGTAAAAGAAAAAGTAGGAGGATAAATAATTGGCGGAGATGTGTTGAGGCGAGCCTTCGTCTTTTCATTATTACCAAATTTAGAAAGGAAAATTAATTGTTTTGTGATTTACAAAATGAACGGAACTTTTTGAGAATCGCATGATTTGCGGACTAGGTTTTCTCTTCAATCTGACGATATTTCACCGTCGAAAATTTAAAAGCGAATTGATTATAATGGTACTGTATAAAGATTTTGGATGATATTCGAAAAACTGATTAATGCTCGAGAGAGAGAGGGAGAGAGAGAGAGTTCTTATGCGCAATTATACCATAAGTGACAAAGAGCCATTTGAGAAATATGATGTGTGTAGATGTGTGTGTGCGAGCTAGTATGTTTACAGTGATGTAAATATTAGAGAGTTTAGCAAACATGGGTTCCTAGACAATTAAATATTTTTCGTCCTTTTGATGGTTAGTTTACCTATAAGCGAAACCAAGACTACATTATTTCTGACAAATATTGATGGCGAAAATAGAAAATTCTATTAATATTTCAAGTTAATTCTGGGAATTGCTGAGCAAAATTGAAATTGAATTGCAAAAAAAGACCAGTGGAACAAAATTTTAATAATTATCTTACCCAAATGTTCGAATCTATTCAAAAATTTTAAATGTATATAGTATGAATAACTTTGACTCATACGACACTCTTTTTTACTATCTGCTTGAACAATATTCCCAAAACCAGAAAAAAACTTATTTTTTTAATCAACGCCATTTCAACGCTATTATATGTTTTTCCCCAAAAAATGTTGGTTAAAGGTTTCAAATTTCAAGCGATCATTTATTTATTCAGACTCGTTGTTTTGTCGCTCATTTATTCCATAAATTGGAAGATATAACACGTCGTAGCTTTATCGTTTGATTCTCTGAACTACAATTTTCTCAATCATGAGAAAATTGGGGCGAGTAATTAAGTTTACGTATCAAACCACGAAAACAAATTGGGTCTCGAGGAGTGGCGAAAAACGTACAATTTAAAAATTGCGCTTTTCATGGACCCTCTTGTAACCATGGATTTTGCTAGTTTAATTTATTCTCGTATAAAATGGAAATTTGTTTTTTTTTTTTCTTAAACGATAATAAGAGGCTGGATTTAAAGAGATTGTAAAAACATATATGGAGACATAAGGAAAATCATAAGAAATCAAATAGAAGTTGATCATAAAAAAATCATTTTAGTGTGTTGACGATGTTCTAACAAGTCCTGCTGGATCAATGAACGCATTCGTCGCTACGAGACCACCCGGGCATCATGCATCAAGCGCAAAAAGCAGCGGTTTCTGCATTTTCAACAACGTTGCGATTGGTGCGAAATATGCTCAACAGAAATATAATGTGAAAAAGATACTTGTGTTGGATTGGGATGTACATCACGGGAATGGAACCCAGGAAATATTCTATGAAGACGATTCGGTGCTTTATATGTCGATTCACAGGCATGAGCGCGGAGAATTTTATCCAATGGGAGAACCCAAGGACTATTTTGATACGGGAGAGGTATTCAAAATATATAATAGACAACTTTTATTCGAATATAATCCTAGCCGAATTTTTTTCGGACAACAATGCGATGGACATAGCGCGTGTCTGAAACTGATAATCTTTTTGTTGAGAACTGCATTTTTCAGTGACAAGGTCGTTTTACAAAAATGAATTCCTTGTGACGAATTTTCTTCTAAAAAATAAATTTAAAAAATATTATTTAAATAATATTAATATATTGAAATAATATTGAATACAGATTGCGCGATTGTATCAATGAGTGTGTTCTCCTAAAATAAAACCGTTAATATGAAATGTTTAAACAAAGATGAGTTTTCTATTTTTATTTTTAGGAAATTGGAAAAGGATTTTCGGTGAATGTTCCATTCAGCGGCCACGCAATGGGAGATTTTGAATATCTGTCCGTTTTTCTCAAAGCGATAATGCCAATTGCTTATGAATTCAACCCGGAACTTGTATTCATTTCAGCAGGATTTGATGCTGCTGAAAATGATCCACTTGGACAATATCAGGTTAATAATTCTTCATTACTTCAATTATTACCATCACAAAAAAATGAGCCGCTTGCATAATCGTGGACCGTCGCACTTTTTCGAGCGGTCTTTCAATATTGTATTTAAACGGTGGGAATTCAGGCACCACACTATGGATAACCTTAAAGATAACTCACCGCAAATCGGCACTAGTCGCTCGTTTTTTTTTACAAACGTAATATTTTTCTATGTTCAGCTTTCACCAGAAGCTTTTGCTTCTATGACCCATCAACTGTGTAGTCTGGCTTCCGGAAGAGTAATTGCAATTTTGGAAGGAGGTCATTTGAAAATATTTGGAATATTCAAAAAACCAAAATGTGTTCAGGGTACAATTTGACGGCTTTGTCGAAAAGTGCACTCGCAGTATGCGAAGTACTGAAGTATCAAACGATGGTGCGCCGATTAAAAGCAGAAACAGAGGAGCAAAAGTATGTTGAATACGGAAAAAAAATTGCATATTAATATGGTGTTATCGCGAAAAATGTGAAAATCTGGTTATGAGAAATATTCTTTTAGCCAGACAACTTGTTCATTCAAATTTTTATAGGATAAAACTGAGACCAGAATGTATCAAAGTCCTTCAAAAAGTATGTTGGGAACAGGCGAAATACTGGAAAATTCTTCGTGGATTCAACGTAAGTGACTAGATGCGTTTTTCTAACAATCAGATATTCAAGACAATCATTGGTACTGTATCTAACTCGAAACTGATAAATAAGTCTGGCAAGCCTTCGAGCAGTGCAAGATCATCAGCGGCGAGAGCGATGTCTAAACAATGTTTGACACCAAGTGCGCCGCCAACTCGAAGGTCTCCAAGACTTGTCGAGAAGAATGATGCTTTGAAAACACTTGAGAGTCGACTAGAGGAATTAAACCTTAACTCTTGATAACATACTAATGTTTATGTATATATATTAAATGCCCATAATTAAAGCATGTTTCGATCATTATTGCTATTAATGTCAATTTATTCAAATCGGAATAGACCGAATAATATATCTCGAACAATTGCGCATTTGTTTCATTCAATCAAGTTTATGTTCTTTTAGGTTGACCCTTCACGTGAGAATTGTGACGAATCGATGAGTGGACCATCGAGTAGTAAGGATATGACACCGGTCGGTGAGGTCAATGGCCTCTATGCAGTCACTCCGGCATCGCATTGTCCGCATTTGGATCAAGTAATAAAGTATTTTTACAACTATGCATCACCCCAAAACATATAGGTTCGAGAACTTCCAAGTACTGGAATTGATGCCTCAATGGTATGCGAAGGATGTGGAATTAAAGCTGAAGTTTGGGTATGTCTTCATTGCTACAAGGTACACGAACTGAGAACGTCTCATGATTTTTTTCTCGAATGCTTCAGGGGAATTGTGGCCGATTTATAAACGAGCATGCATTGATTCACAGTGTCACCGAAGCACACCCGATGGCTCTTTCGTTGGCTGATCTCAGTGTCTGGTGTTATCCGTGCAACACATACGTACACAATCCAGTTTTGATTCCGGCCAAATCTTCGGTCCATCAGAGCAAATTCGGCGAACCGATGCCTCATTAAACCAGCGGGAATAAATTGTAAACAATTTATCGTTCTGCAAAATACGATACAAAAACAAAAACAGTACGACAGGGGTTTTGATCATCGTAAATTATAAGTTTTAAAAATAACGTTCAGATTTTCGGTGATTAGAGTGAACTTGGTACGTAAAATAGAGTACACCAAAAGAATGAACCATAAATAATGGAGTAAATAGAAAACGGTGGCAAATGATTGAAAAAGAAGCTAGTAAAATACATTTCAGGAATTGTGCGTATTTGCACAATTTACATAACTCCTGAAGAAGATCAGTGTGTTGAATGATGAACAATGGATTGTGGACGCATTAACAACGAAAGAAAAACTAAACGATGACTAAGAGAAAAAATACATATTGCTTAGTCCCAAGTTTCGCTAGCATCTTCCTCCGTTTCCTCCTGCTCTGAAAAAGAATTATCACCGTGGAATCCACGGAATCGGTCACGAAGAGCAGCTTCGAATGAAGTGACTGGTCGTTTCAATCGAACATGACTCATCGGAGATCCTCCAGGAGATCTAGATTAATTTATCTTACTAATTTTAAAAAATCTGTTGTCGCGCGACTGACTGCGAAAAATTGGCTAATTGCCAAAAACAATGACAGAGGTCTTGGAGCAAAACTACAACTGTATTTCGCCTAGATTTACGAGTTAACAATCGTTAAGATGGTTAAAAGCGCACACCACGCACCAAAACCTCTCCTCAAAGTTTTTGGCATATCGACGTCGACAGTACCTCGCTGTTTTTTTGAGAAGGCTTCTTCCATTAGCGATATCCGTAAGATATGGACGATTCGAAGAAACGGTATCAATGTTTGGAAGTGGATCTTTTGATAGTGGTTTTGGCTTAAATATTGCATTTCCTTTTTGAATAGGAAAATTTAAATACCTTAATGCTTGCTTGGTTCTCGCTGTTGTTTATAGTGATTTGTTTAAGAACTGGTGGCGGTGGAGGTGGTGGTGGAATCGATGTAGGCGCTGCGACGGGTGGAAGATCTCCACTTGATGAAATTGAAACTGTTTGCGATGGTGGAGAGTTTCGTCGCTGCAGTGAGTGAGACGGGCTGCACAATGATGGCCCTTTTCCTTCGTCTTCGGATTCATCTGATGAATCCGAACTGGACACAATTTCAACAGAGGATTTCTAAAATAAATTCTTACATTGAAAAAAAATATCACAATCGCAAAAACGAGCACTCAAAGACTTTTGGTGAGTTTATTCCTCGTACCGTACTGGAATTTCCACTGTTTTAATACAAATTTTAATTTTTTAGTTACCGCCTCAAAAAAGTGCAATGGTCCTTATAAATTTTAAAATTATATTTTTAATTTTAATTAAATTTATATCTGAATTTAAAACATCTTTAGATTAGATCGTACACATTAAAGCTTTTAAAAACGATAATCAGAAACTTGAGTGTGCATTTACGTGTACCTTTTCCATTCTCCTTCCTCCTCTATGAGAACTGGCTCGTGACGATCGTCCACCTTTTCCAGTTGATGTCTTCTGAAGACTCATTAATTGCTTCGAAAGCATAGCGAGCTGGTTTTGAATCGCCGCCATTTGATCCTCAGTGGTCATAATTGTTCGTGTACTCGGCATACTCAAACGATCCTCATCATCATCCGCATACGTCATACCCATAGGCACATTGAGCCGTTGGAATTCGCAAAAACTATCTTCTGCAGGCTCAGGTTTCACACGTACTGGTAGACATTCCCATTTTTCGGATCTTCGCTGGATTATTCCGTCTTCAAGATCATCTGTCGTTAACACTTCTTCAATATCATTTAACGTGTATCTTGGAGGCTTCCATGTGGTGACGTTTGATACCTGCAACTAGCAATATATTACGAGAAGTCATTCTTTTCTAACCTCGTTCAGGATAAGCTCAGCATCGTTTTCAAATTCAAGAATATTCCTTGAACATTTTTTTGCGCCTGAGAATTTCGCAAAAACTCGCGCCAAAAGCTGACGAAATCTTTCAAATCCAACATGGCGACCAACGTAATTTCGCATTCTTTCACCTTTTTCGCGAATATTATGCCTCTGAAATTAAAAACGAAAATTTTTACACAGATTTTATAATATACCACTAATTCGAATTCGTCCATCAAAATCTGCAAAAGAACCTCGATACTATTAGCAGTACTCGCAACTACCAAATCATTCCTAGGAATGAATTGTGTCTGTAACACCACATGATTATTTAAAGCACATTTATTTGAAAGCTTACATTTGCATGTTGCGCGGTTGAATTAATATCGTCATCGTTGAATATCTTGGTTTTCGAATGAGGTCCTGTCACCAATATTGTTGCACGGCGACGTTTTAGCGGGGTCTCCTCCATTTGACTAAAAAAGATATTGATTAGATAGGACTGGATCGTTGAGGCAGAAACACGAAACCGGACAGATGAATCGGAAGAGATAAATATTTACGACACTCGAGTATTCAAATTAAGCGGTGGTGCGGCGGGGCGGGCTTGCAACGTAGCTCCGCGCACCTTTTTGTATATCCAAAACCGGATTTGGACAGTGCACAAAATGTCAGGAATAAAAACCGTTCTCTCTTATTTCTGTATCGTGACAGCAATTATTTAGTACAATTTTAGAAGTTCCTTTGAACTGAAATATAAAATAATTATAATCTACTTTTAAGATTTGATTAGGGAATATAAAATAATTATGGTCTCGATATATTACACACGAATATGTATTCGAATAATTATACGAATATTATTCGAATATATTACCATTGCAAAAAAGCCGATAACGTGCGAAGATAGCTCACCGTAAATTGGCGCAGCAATATCCTGCTTTAAATAACAATATAGTGCACTAAATATTCTATATAAAGTTATTAGCATAATACTCGAAAGTTATTCGAATAAGACTAAGGATACTCGAATAATGTTCTCGAAGTAACTATGTATTTGAATAATATTCGAATATATTTCGAATAATTATTCGAATACGCACTTGAGGGTGCACACTGGTTTCAACTCATAACACATGATTATATTTATGTTCAAACTCATTATATTTTCTAAAAGTCCGTTTAATTATGTTTGAAAATGGCTTAGATAGTGATTATCATAAACGACTCATAGACACAAAAGGATTTAGAAATTATTATAATAAGCGTCGGACAAACATCATAAAACGTCAAAAGAAATAGTCGGCCTACGTCGGAGGACTCAAGGTATTCCGTCCACTTGGACAGCAAACACGGCCGCTCACACAATTGTCCGTTCACGTTTACCAAGATACAAAAAAATGGTTTCGACAGGCACGTCAAACTATGGCTAGAGACGAATGAAACATTTTCGAAACTAATTCGAATGGTGCAATTTTGAACGATTGCAGTTTTTGGTCCACTTTTCATTCTCAGCGGATTCATATTATTTTTGAAAGTGAAAAATCTCAGCAAAATTCGTTTTGCAAACGATTTCAGGTCTTCTTTTGTTTAATCTACACGATTATGTTGTTTTATAAAAATAAAACAATCTTTAAATTATCTTTAGCCTTTCATTTTATGAAACAGGAGATTGCAATTCCCATATTTTATTACTCGGAAATTCACCTCCAGATTTTCAGCAAACATAAATCGGCTTAGTCAGTCTCGCATCAGTTGCCATTTTGAATTCTCAACTGTTCAAAACAGAATCATCCTTATTCCATTGTTCTGAATTTTTTAATTTGGTCATAATTTATGACGTCATCAGCATTTTTCGCTAATTTTTATTGAATAGAATAAACAGTCGTTTTTGGGTATTAGAATTCAACTATTTAACAACAATTTCGAGAAAACGCGAATCACTGCTGGAGTGCGCCGCCGACTGCTGTGAATCGTCCGCCGGTTGTCCTGAATGCCTGATCTCCTCTTCCTGTTTGCAGCATCTGCGCAAAATCGGCTATTATCGGGGTTCGAACAAAACGTTACCGTCCACATCTGCCCACTTCGCCTCACCATGACCGCTTTTCACTTTTACACCAATCAGTCACGAATGATTGGTCGCATTCAACACCGCTTGTATGTTTTCTGCACTTTTTTTTACATATTGAAAATTGAAATCAAAATTAGATAATAAACAAAATACAAAGAATATGCAGTTTTCTGAAAAAAAAAACGAAAGGAGATGAAAAATAGAGGTCTGCGCGGAAAACCCGTTTTATCATCTAGCAACTGCGCCTTTTTTATTTCTAATGTCTCTATCCTAGCGGCTTCATCTCCCGCTCACCGTTCTATTATTCATACAAATCTAAGATTATCCTATATCGATTTCTCCTTACCTTCATCCGATCGCCCGCAAAATAAATATTGCATTTTAATTCTGTTAGACATAAGTTGGTCTCACGCTAAATTCTAGAATCTTTGTTAAGCAATTATCCATACAGAAGTATTCTGTTCGAACAACGCAAAATCATAGTTCGGAGATCAATTGATCAATGGCATCACTTTTCCAGTTTTTATCGAAACAATTAATTTGCATATACCAACAAGAATCGTTAGCGTAATTGTCTAGAAATCTCGCGATTGCGTTTTTTTTTTCTATTTCTCATTTTCTCACTGATTTTCTCCGTGTAGCAATAGTAGACATACAATTAATGAGGATGTTGTTGGAATAAGTGAGTGGAACGGTTACAAGTCTCGTTGTCTTAATTTCGCGAAGAAGCCAATTTCCCGAATGACATCGGAAACCGCACAGGTGTCAAACGTATGTATGTGTGTGTGTGTGCGATCGGATTCATTCTCGACAAAAATGCAAAACTTGTTTTTGTCCTTTTTCGCCTTCCAATTGCCATCTATTCGATATCGCGAATCCAGTGTAATCCAAATATGACAAACATCGGAATCCTCAACCAATTCTTGATGATTCCTCTTGTTTGCATAACAATTTCTTCGTTTTAGTGGACTTGTTCAAAAAGCCACAAGCCTGTTCAATATTTTCCCATTATTTTAATTATATGTATTTATTCAACCATCGTTTCCAACACGCAGTACATTAGGAGTCTTTAACAAGGCTGATATTCAAGGGCACGGGTTTTTCCACTGATGTGTAGATGCTAGTTTGACCAAAAATGGTTTAGAAGCTTCTCATCACATTACACATGTTCTCTGTCTCCGCAATGACCAGCAAATGAACCTGTGACGAAGTTCATCCAATTAGAAATGTTGTTGTTCGCGTAGACCGCCTAGGCAGGTTTTTTCGATCGAATTAGTCATAGTCTGCAAATGAAACAATTTCCTGTCGGTTATTATTTTTAAACTCATGAGTATCGTTACTTCAATAGAACTAGATTTTCCGTTAAGAAAAAAACGTTATTCCCATTCTTCGAAAATTCCATTAAAGTCGAGATCGCTTTAAGAGAGGCTCTCTTTTTTAGTAAAAGTAATTTTTCATTAATAATCAATATTTATGTTAACAAGATGAATATTCTAATCAATCTTAAACGTATCTATTTGAGTAGCTGGACGATTTTTTGAAGAAATCCAGTATTTCGAGACTGGGGTATCAAATTATCAACTTTTTTTCTGAAAATATTGTATTTATTCAAATTCGTATTACTAGTTCTTGAAATAAGTTGATTGACTTCCATGCCTATTTGCTTATTTATGAATACAAAAAAGTTGTTGCTATTTCTTATTAGACGCCTGTCTTCTTTATTACGTATTTATTTATTGTTGTACCCATTGTGTATTCAAACAAGCGCCCATCAAATCACATCGTATCGGCTGCCGTATTTCTCTGCAGCATTTTTCCAGCTTGTATGCCCATGTGAATTCCGGTTTTGACCCGTTTTCTTTCCGCCACCTCTTGCCTCACGTACGCTATTTCGGTGACGAGAAATTCATAAACGATTGGATGCCCTTCTTGATTTTTGCCATTCATTCGACCCCACGATTCTATGTTGGTTCCCATCTTTTTTTGGTAGATATCGAAAATCCTTCAACAGTTTTTTCTTTTTATTGAATACTTAAAATATGGTTAGATTTCCTCATGCCTAAATGAGATTTTGCTTAATGTCTGTTCTCAATTTTCATTTTCAGACTCTTCTTTTTTTTTCATTTTAAGTGCTAGTGGCAAGTGCTCTTCTGAATATATGATTGTGAACTTATCCATTTCGATTTCAAGCATCATCCGATCGTTTTCGACATTCTTCCTTCACATTTGGGTGTTTCATTCCAAATATCGCTATTTATTTCCAGGCCATATACGAGTTATGGATCAAATTTGCTGATGTGATACCAAAGTTTGACAGAAATCACACGAATATGACCCATAAAGTGCACGAATCGCAGATTACTCTAGCATCGAGAAATGGTTTTTTTTTAATTGAGACATTCGTATAACTCAATAAATCCCAATTTCAGTGTGTCCGAGTCGAGCAGTACCTCTGAGCACCCGTCAGATTTTCGCATTCTCAACAATCCTTGCAATTTACTCATTCGTCTATTTGATATATGCTCAACATCATGCTCTATTGTTCTATGTCATGACGGGGTATGAAAATTCAGAAAAAATACGAACAAAGAAGAAACGAATTACAGAGTGATTGTCACTTACATTTTATTCGTTTATATTTCGGGTATTGCCGCCGTTTTGTATATGGTCGTTTACGATTATGATATTGATGAGAAGATTCCCGGTGAGAAGTACGACATCGAAGAATCGGCGATGTGAAAAATACGTGTTTTAATTCAATATTTCATAGGAATTGATTTATAAATCCTACTATTTCATTATGTTTTCAATCACGACTTCTCAATCACTCAAATTTTCCTCTTATTCAGTTACATTTATAATTTTTGTTCAAAATGAGCAATTATTTAACTTCTAATTATTATTTACAAAAAATAACAACTCTAATCAAATAATTCACTACGTAAGTAAAAAGCGAAAAAAAAGAAGAGAAACACGTCACCGTCGTATGGTAACTATGAAAATGGGAAGGAAAATAAGTTTTGACAAAAAGAAACGAATGGAATGATGTGAAAATACACAAGTTTTGTTAGATAGATGGAGTACACGAAAAGCCTAAACAATTCTCATAATTAGAATTGATTCGCATTAAAATCCTAAACGGATTTTTTCTTTGATAACTATACATATTATTGTATGTACCCTTGATTATAAGCGAGAGCTGGGGAGACAGTGAAACGGGAGGACAAATGAAGATTTGAGTGAATGTTCAGAAAATGACGAGAAAATTCAGCAATCACAGAATTTCTAAAAAAAGAGAAAAGCGTGTTATTCGCGAACATTGATCACAATCTGCTTGTGCTTCGGATCGTCAAATCTATCCATTGTCTGTACCGACTGTAGCATCAAATAACCGAACAAGAGTCCAGCGACGAGGGTCAAAGAGGCAACAATTCCTTTAAACAATAAATCGTTTGAATATAAACTAAATTCTGGCAAATTACCCATCCAGGATCCTGGAGAGAACGTTCCAGTGCAGTCTTCAACTTGCAATGTGAATCGTGCGCGTTCCGTCCAATGGTCAAGAAGGTTGAATGTTTGAATCTGTGTGTTGTACAAAGAGATTCCAACTTTAACCGATTCATCGCTTGTCGGGAAGAAAATCGCTTGCGATTGTCCGCAGGCAAGAGACCATCCGGCGACTGATTCAATTCCAGAGAACTGAGTCTCAACCTTTCCAATGGTTTTTTCGTCGACAGTGACCGACTGAAATTTTTAAATTACATTTTGAACTAATAGAACTCTTTTTTTAATTAATTTTCTTCGTCTTTCCGTTCTACATGATCAAATTTGGTAATAGGCTTATCTTAGAATCCAAGAGAGTTCATGAAATCAGAAAATATAGACTTTTAAAATTAATCCCTATTGCCTATATTTTTACAAAAAAAGGATTTTAATTGTTTTTTTTTCAAATAAAAAATTAGGAATCTATACGGCATCATTGAATCTGAAGATTTCCAAATAATATACAAAAATACCTTGAATTTAGATCCGCTGATTGTGATGGTGTGAAGAACGGCATCAGTGAGCTTCCAGTATCCGAACAAATCTCCAGTGATGGTCAAACTAAAGAAACACGTAAAATAAACAAGTAGAAGTTACCATAAAACATACGTGAACTCAATTGGAGAGTTTCCTGGAATAGTGTAGTAGGTGTCTTTGTTCAAGGTTCCTGGAATTTCTCCAGCGGTGTTAAGACGAACACGGAATTTGAATTCTCCGATGGTTCCGGTTGGGCACGAAACGTCACCATCAGCGTAGCCCCAGGTGACGTTGGCCTCGCGGATTGTAGCAGGCACATAATCGACGGTTTTTCCGTTGTTCTGCGCAACAACCACAGTAAGTCCTTCGAGATAGAACAAACATGTCAGATTGCTAAATATCATAATTTTCATTTGATAACGTTCCAATAAAAAACTTACGCTTTTGGCTTGACGTCTGGGTAGTCGGATTGATTGTATGGTGGGAGAATGAGTGGCATAGCAACATATTTGTCCGGCTTGTTTGGAGATCCAGTTGATCCAGTGTTTCCGGTAGCGCCTTCCTCCTGAAACAAATATTATGAATAAGATATTAGAGTTTATCAAATTTGGTTTTTCCCAAGAGGAAATCAAAGCCTTTCGAGCACCTAAAGAGGTACTCCATTTAAATTTTTAATACCAACCATTTCCGACGTGGCAACTCTTTTCACGCGATTCTTATCGTGAGAAATAGCATCGGATGAAGTAATGACAGCAACGGAGTTGTCAATCTTCGAGATAAGTTCCTCGGCGAGTTGCTCCATTGAAATCCATTCTTCTCCGGCGATTATGTAAACCGAAGCTCCAGCGGTGAACTGGTCAGAGGAAGTGATGACTTTAGCCGAATCAGTCTAAAATAAGCTGCTTCAAAATTTTCAGATTAATATTTCTTACATAGAGCTGATTGGCAAAATACTCGACCCCGTGGAAACGACTTCCCTTGACGGTTTTAACGAGGAAATCGTCTGAAGGCTCGGTACTGTAAGCATTGGCCTTGACCGAAAACTGTCCTGAAAGAAGCATATATTCATATATTAACAAATCAACTGAAGTGGGGCAATTTTGGTAAAATTCAAATTTAAGAACAAACCTAACGTGAAATCCGGATTGACAATGAAGACTACTGGTTCCTCTTTCGACGCTGATTTCAAAACATCTTCGATTTTCGTCTTTCTGAATTTAATTCCCTCAAAACAGCGAAAATAAATAAATAGAACTTACGAGACATCAAGTTTATTGGAAAAATAAACGGCGTCGTATGCGGAAACTGCAGCGATAGCGCACAATGCGGCTAAAAGTACCCTCATTCTGTAACAATGAGAAGTTGATTTCACACGATAAATCGCTTAAAATCAATTGAAAAAAAACCGAGAGAGGCGAAAGAATGCAATGGAACAGCCGGAGAGGAGAGTGGCCAAAAATCGACAATCGACCCAAGACCAGGTTCGGTGGAGCGTACTTCGCCTACTCGATGCAGGCTCTTATGCCAAAGTCGGATTGACGAGGCAGAAAAATGAAATGATTGACGTATAAGTGAAATGACAAACAAAATTTGTTTAAAAATGGATATCAAGCAATATTTTTTATTAGTCGAATCTAGTAAACGGATCGTAATCGTATACGACCATATCGCCTATTCAAACGCAACCAAATACAATTCCGATTTTATCGCATCCATTTTCTAGAATCGACTCAAGTTTTACTAATTTTTTTCAAAAAATGGATGCTAAATAAAATTTTTAAACAAGAAAATGATGGAAGATGAAGACGATAAACTTTAAAACTGATTCGTCACTATAATGCACCGAAAAAAAACAGCCGTTTTCCCCTCACGGATTTCCAAGAAAATAAATGTCTGCACTTTTTTCGTCACGTGTTTGCAGGTTTAAAAGCTACCGTACACTTGTAAAACAGACTCGGCGAGCTCATCGGGCGAAGTACGGATATTTCTCGGTTTTGGTGGCAATTGCGAATTGAACATTGTTTTTCCTCACTGGCAAAAACAATAAATTCTTTCTATTTTTCAAGCCACTTGTTGAAACACACAATAAATTCATCGTGCAAAATAGGTTTTCTTTGTTCGGTGAAACAATGTCAAATTGTGGGTGAAATATCAGCATAAAATAGAACAATTGGTTGTTCTCGTAGAAGCGGCGAAGCAACGAAAAAGCGTTAACTCGCCCGATGAGTTTACCAAGAAGATAATTTTTATAGGTTAAAGTACTAAAATGTAAAAAAAAATAAAAATTATCAGACTTCTGTTTCTTGCACTCCGTTTCCCCAAAATTATTACATTTCGCCAAAAGACAGAATTCTCTTTCAGTCTTCCGTCATTTCAATTCCAAATTTGATCTAGATTTATTCACAGTCAAATAAGCGAATTCGTTTACAAAACGAATAATTATAAGAATACGGAATATTCACAGTAATGTCAATCAATACGTTAATGTTAGTCGAAATAATAAACGAATACAAAAAAAAATTAGAGATTTCGACGAGAAAGTGGTCGAGATTTTGCCGACGAAGACGTCGAAGAAGGAGTAATTGCGCGCCGAGACATTGGAGTGTGGGTTCTGGAAGATACTTCCTTCGGCGACGAAGTCTTTGGGCCAGCCTGAATGTTCAATGAAAAGATAGAAATGGAAAAATGTTGAATACCGGTCCTTGTCTGGTTGGGGTGATGAAGCTGAGCGGTTCTGATGTGTATGGCGAAACACACTGTGGAAGATTGTCAAAATTCAATCTCTGGAAGAAAACATTTGAAACAACTGCTCTTGTTTTGTCAGTGTTCCAACCTTTGCAGCTGGCTCCATTTTTGCAGTCGACGCTGGAGTTCGGAAATAAGGTTTCGTCCGCTTTTGAGACCTCGGCGTCGCCTGAGGGGACTGCATTCGCGTTTTCTCCTTCTCTTCTTTTTTCAATTTCAATTCGAACATCTGCTCCCTTTTATGTTCTTCTTTAATATAATTAATATATTCATTCGGATCTTTTCCTTGAATCCTTAAAACAAATATTCTAATACAAATGAGAGATGTAATGATTTCTTACAAAATCTTGTCATCCGGATGCTCGTTTTCGTATTTCCTATTCGCAGCTTTAATTTCTTTCTCCAATTGTGGCATTATGGCCAATAGTTCCCTTTCTCTCTTATTATCAGGCAATACATTGACTTTTTTGTAATAGTCAGGCATTTTTCTTTTTTCATCGATGCTCAATTTCTCATTCCAAGCCGTCTTCCAGCGATTAATCAACTCAAAAATGCGTTTTGACGATTCATATTTCTTTTTGAGAACATCACATTCAGCTTCCATTTTTTGCAATGTTTCTTCAGTGTGTCGGCCTACAAAATTAATCATTCTTTAATAAATTAATCTCCTTCAGATTTAAATTCGTAATGACATTTGGTGTTTTCAACTCAATCCTTTTGATAATATTAATAGTCTTCTTTACCCTGACAACATTTGTCTGTTGTAATTTTATTCAAAACATGTTTAAATTGAAATTCAAACGAGACTTGATTGATAAGAACATATCAAACTTTATCAGTATCTAAAAGACAGTACCTGGCTCGAACTGGGCATCGTAATACCGCAGTTCTTCGGGAATCATACACTTTTCCCACAAATCTAATAACTCTTCTCTTTTCTCTGTCCAACGGAATTCAATGTCTTCTAACCAATGCGTGTAAATGGGAAGAAGCTTAAAATAATTGCTGAAACTTGGGATACAAACCAAAAATCATACATCTGCATGGTATGTTTGTAGTAATTCGACAATTTTTTCAGAAAATACAAAATCCTCATCATCTATATTATTTTCGAGCAAGCATCGAAGATCGTCATCACTTTCAACAATTTTCTTGATATCATCTGCAATTGAAAAATATTTTTCTTCAATATTCCGAGTATTTCAATTACTTGTCCAAGACATCCATTGTTTCATTTCAGATTGCAACTGCTCGACTTTGTGATATCTGCTGCGGAGCATTTCCTCCATATCACTATATTCCCTCTCATAATAATTGAGTCGTTCAATTGGGAAAAGCTAGAATCCAAAAGAATCACATAAGAATTATTCGATGGTAAGTTACAATATGTATATCATCATCAAAATCGAAGCTCGAATCCAGCCGGGTTTTAAGCATATTAATTTTCTCGACAAGCATTTTCTGCTCAGAATGTCTTCGATTAAACTCAATTTCCAAATTCTCGACTTCTTTTTGTAAATGTCTCATCTGAATTCCTTGATTAGAAGTATTGAAAAATTAAAAAATACACTACCAATGCAATTGAGTTATCCTTAATATCCTCAGGTTTTTGAAATGTTTCCAGTTCTAGTTCGGTTCGCATTTTTGCAATTTTCAATGAATTTTCGCGAATGCTTGCTCGTAAATTTCGCACCATCTCCATTTCACCCTCAAGCTGAAAATTTTATAATTTAATGGATGAAATATAAATTTTAAAGACCCGCTTACCATTTCATCGCAAAGATGTGTAATGTGCTTGAACGCAGTGTCAACCCTTCTCAATCTTAAAAAAATTAAATATAATAAACTTCCTTTTGAAAAAAGTTTAATAACAATAATACCTCATCGAATCTGACATATCAACTTCATCCCAAAGGGAAGATAATTGGTGCATTGTATCGCGAATCTTTTCCTCGACACAAGCATATGCGTCAACAACACTATGCCTAAAAGTGAATATTTTAAAATAAATACAACAAATATTTAATTACCTTCGAGACATATTTTCATTTGTGGAATTGAACAGTATCTGTAAAAATAAAAAGTATCACAAAAAAACAAGTAATAACGATCATGGACTAAATTATCTAAAAATTAAACAATTTAATAAATTTATAATAATTTATCTATAAATTATTCAAACAAGACTCTCCTATACAGCTAAATTAAAATTTGAATGTGTACAGATCTTTAGATTAGATCACGAAACAATTCAGCGACCCAGATAGCGAAAAGACGCCACGATTTCAAATTGCCTCGCGCCGTTACACTATAAAAGTTCGTCCGCGGTCATCAAAACATCCTCGGCCACGTCAAATTATTCAAAATTTAACGCTAAAATGTAGCGAGAAATATAAAACCACGTGAATTTGAAAAAACTGAGTATTTCGAATACTTCCGATATTACTGAATTATTTTACTCATTTCTATTATTTGTTATCACAATGACATTTTTTACACCGAAAGAACGAGGGCCGAGGGTTTTTTAATTTTATTCACAGACAAATGGAATTAATGATTTAGAGTAACAATGAAACTGGAAAAATGCGGACAGCTCAGTCGAATACCCCAGTAAATTTGGGTTTAGGTGTATCAAAATATATACTTTTGTAATGATAGGGAAAATTGGGACGTGTAAAATCCGGAACTTCGCTGAGTGGTGTACGCTATCGTTATAAGCCTGGCGAAGAAGTTGAAGGCGTGAACACATACAAAGTTCTTCATGTTTTGAGAAAAAGCAACAAATACGGTCGTGTCGATGTCTACACGGTGAAAGAGCCCGAGCAGGAGGATGAGTGCCGATTAAAAATTGGAAATCTGGAATTGGGAAAACTGAAACTCGAAGCTTCAATCCTGAAACATTCGCTCAAATTCCCTGGCGAGAGATGTTTTCCAGATCTGTACGAATATGGAACAATTCCGAAACACAAACTCGAATTTGTGGTCATTTCACAACTTGGAACAAATCTTGAGGAAATTATGAGAAAAGTCGTAAAAGGCTTATTTTCGTTGGAATGTGTAATGAATATCGCAATTTCGACATTAAAAGTAAATTTTACATTAATACAACAATAATGAAAGGATTTTATTTTTCTTAGGGTATTCAAGATCTTCATAAACTTGGATATGTCCATCGAAATATTCGCCCGGCCGCATTTTATGTTGGAATGAAGGATCGCGATTCGAATATTTATATACAAGATTTTCGAGCCGCGCGAAAGATTTTTGACAAAGAGCGAAGACATTTGGTATTATTTTTCATTAATTAATTTTAAATTGCATTGCATTTTTTTATTGTACTCAAATCAAACCAGCTTTTGAGCTTAAAGCAACCCTCCACGAATCGCTACATTTAAATGTGCTTAAAAATACCTTTTCTGTATTTTTTCAACTTGCTAAACTTCTTGCTAAATCTATCTTTTACATATTTCTATTGTTAAATGTGTCTTTGACAATTTTTAGCCTGCTCGATCGAAGGTGAAATGGCACGGAACAAAGAGATATGCCTCAAGAGCATCGCTGAATGAAAAAGATCAGGGAAGAAGAGACGATCTGGAAAGCTGGATCTATATGGTTTGTGGAAAAAGGAAACATTTAAGGTGATATCAAATACGTTAGATTTTTGCAATTCTTGATTCCGAATCGATTACGTGGAAAAAAGAAAGTGATTTGAAAAGAAATGCGGCCGATAAGGATGTTTTTATGAGAAACAGTTGGGAAGAAAATAGTAGAACGAAGGGAAATCTACTAATTTCAGGCATTCCCACCCAATATGCGAAAATGCCGGAAGATATGAAGCAGGCTGTGAGCTACGTGAATGATTTGCTCTATGACACAGAACCCGAATATACCAAACTCGTTGGCATCATAATGGACATTCGGCAAAAATTGCAGTTGGGCACCAATTTAGACTGGAAAGGAAAATCGGGTATTGATGCGGAATTCGAATCTGGAACGGCAGGATCGTTGCTCATAAATAAAATAAAACCATTTCGACTTGCAGGCTTATTCAGCTGATCTTAAATTTTCCGGAGATTTTGATGCCGGGTTAGATTGATTTAATTTTTTCAGAATTTAAAATAATTGGTTTTATAGGAAAGCGGAAACTGCTCAAAGATCTCAAAGAAAGAAGAAACCAACTAGAAAGAAGTTGATTACTGGCGATGTTATCCGAAGCGAAGGAAAACCTGGGCATGTTTTTTTTTAAAATCTATAAATACGCTGTTAACGTCAAATGACTGCTCGGTGCCAGGAAAATCAATTTAGCAAAAGAGATCTAAATATTAAATGCGCGTACGTTAAAATGTAACGTACGCAAACACGCGAAGGTCTCTGCCTTGAGAGACCTGGCAAGTAGCCAACTATTTTTTTTAATTTAGTTAATTCGTTTGACACCACCAATTATTAAAAATATGGGCGTTTTGTAGATGGAAAGTAATCAACTTGCTAGGATCTGGCGGATTTGGAGATGTATACAAAGTTTATCGAGAAGGTGGTTCTCCTGATAAGTGCTATGCGTTGAAAACTGAAAGCGAAGACGGCGATAGAAGATTGTTGAGATTAAAAGTTGAAGTAGGAAAACTATAAGTGAGAAATTGCTTCCAATTAATATTTAAAAAAAAATAGGTAAACGTTATGATGAAAACGGCGGAAAAAATCAAAAGTTTCGAACACTTCATCGAGTTCGTCGACCGCGGAAAATGCGAGGCTCTCAAATGCAAATTTGTTGTGATGGGTCTTGTTGGACCGTCGATCGATGATATCCGCAAAAAATATCTGCTCTCTTCATTCTCCAAAAATACATGTTTCAATATTGCAATTCAAACGGTCCAAGCGGTCGCTGATCTCCACAGTATTGGTTATTTGCACAGAGATATTAAGCCTGCAAACTATGCGGTCGGGCTCAATGAATTTGAATCCGTTATTTATATGCTCGATTTTGGTATAGCTAAATCATTTCTTGATGCTGATGGAAATCATAAGGCAAAAAAAAAGTTAATTAAAAAATGAGCAAAAGTTGCAGTTTTAGGCTCCAAGAAAGAAGGTCAAGTTTTTGGGAACAATGCGGTTCGCTTCACGAGCATGTATGCGTCAAATCGATCAGGGCAGAAAAGATGATCTTGAGTGTTGGATTTACATGGTAAGACGATCATTAAATGAATCTTACCCCATATACTTTAAATTCAAGTTTTTTGATCTCATGGATGAACATTTTGGAATTCCTTGGAGAAGACTAATGGAGCCAAAAGCCATTTTAAAAATGAAGGAGAAATTCTTTATTGGCGAATGTAAAATTCTCTCATGGGACAATATTCAACAAAAAAACTTTTTTTTTCAGTTCCTGAAGTATTTAAGAGAGTTCCAAAATCAATGAGTAATATATTGCAATATGTAAATGGGCTTGAATACGAAAGCACACCGGACTATGAGTACATTCTGACATTCTTGAAGACGTGCGCCAAGGATAACGGAATAAAGCCTGACAAGAAACTTGATTGGATTGGAAAACTCAAAAAGAAGGCGTTTGATGTGAGCTCTCAATATTTACAAAGCATCTTAATTGTTTCGTTTTAGACCGATTCGGAGAAATCTGACAAGAATCAGAAGCAATCTGGAGAGGACGAATAAATTCACAAGTTTCTCATTATCATTATTATTTCCTCATGAAGTAATTTTGTGCATAATTATCGCGGCAATCGGATTGGCGGCAGCCTTCCGGGGCGTCGTTCGAATTCTTCTATAGGATCCATTGGCCGAGGAAGACGAGGGTTTATTGATCCAGGAGCGATCGACGTTCGGCGATTTGCAATTGAAATTTTCTCTTGTTGTATTGAAGATCGCGTTTGAAAAGCCGATCGTGGAGCCATCGACGCTTCTTGCGTGCTCATTAGGTACTTTTGGAAGTGAACATTGAGGTGCGAAGGAAGGCAAGTGAATAAACGGGAAAGGATAATGTTTCGCAATTCGCGATATCGCCACATGTAGATTACGAAATTTATCATTGTCTGAAAGAAGATCGAACACGTTCGAAATGATTTTTGAATTTACCTTGCTCAAGGTCATGGAATACAAAGGAGTCGAATAGAATTTGGTGATATTGAACGGATTTAGAAATAATAAAACATCGGGCGCAAATAGAAGAACCATTGAATTTGTTGTAACAAGACCTGAAAAATCTCATATTAGTTATTCCCACCTATAATTGAGAAATAATATATTTAATCATTTCGGCAATGATTAAATATATACAAGTGTTGAGTAGATTAGACTTATTTACTGCCAAAACTGCTCGGAAACATTTTTGACTAACAAATGTCCATAAAAATCTCATTAATTTTGAAAAAAAAAACGTTACCGAGAGTAATTTTCGCATTTCTATGCATTTTCAATTGCTGAGGTGACAATTCTTTTAACGATCCTCCGTGATTTTTTTTGAGGTAGATCAAAATGAAGGCATAAATAAGTGCAGAAGCAAGATTGGCGACAATTCTGAAGAAGAGCATCACATTGTAGGCAACGTGATGAGCTGCTCCGTTCGCAGCAATGCAAAGTGCCGATATTGGTATTTTGACATCAATTAGAAGAATCGCGTTGACGACCACCAAGATTAGAGTAGTGGTGAACGGTACTTAATTAACGATGGAACATGACGAAACACATGTATCAAACATACTCAGTAATAAAATGAATGTGTACAAATGTCCTGCTCTCATATACCAAAGTGGAGCAACTGAGCACAATAGGAAATTGAAGGAGGTAGTCATCGGAAGAAGGCCGAGAAGTGGAGTGGCGATGTTGTGGAGCCAAAGAGCCGGTATAAAAGCGCATTCATTAGTAGGGACAGTTTTAGTCACTGTAACGGACCAAAAATAATTTTATCATGTCAAGACCCGCCCGCCGTACATTTATTTTCAAAGAATAGTCCTAGTCGCAAATTTGCTATCATCATGAATGCAATTGCATAAAATAAATCGGCAATTCCTTGAGCACCAACCAGAATAAATTCACGCCGGCGGCGATTCCGTTGGTCCGAAACAATACACCACATTAGCATACTGTTTGTTGTGCATATTATTATTCCTAGAAAAATTCGAAATTCTGTGAACAGAGTCTTTCGTTTTTCTATTCAAAATCTGTCTTCTAAAAACCAATGAATAACTAAAAAGCCATAATTCAACGAATATTCTCAGACTTTTGTGTGAGATATATGCGAAAAAATGTGGAAATCATACCTTCAGCAAGGTACAAATACATGTTCGCCGCGAATGACATTGACTGAGAAACCTGGAAGAAATTCATTGCTCAAATAAATGTCGAATCATTTTGCGATGTAATATAAGACCAATAATTTGGAGATATTTGAAAAACTCTTGTTCCATGTGCTTCTCAATTCTGATAAAAATGGCAAACGGCATTTGTGAACAAAATGGTAACAAATATGGTATTCAAATAAAATTTTTATTGTCATTTGATTTTACTTTCTATATATGTAATACAATTTAAGAAAGCTTTGCTAGAAGTAAAATTTATTGAATTTTATAACATTAAATATTTCAAATCTGAAAAAATTGAAAATCCTGGCGTATTCATTTTTATATTTCAAGGTTGAAATCACCAAATAAAGAAATAGAAAAACTGAGAAATGCTGTTCAAACATTAATTGTTGTCTAGACGATTAGAACTGTTGAAAAAGTGATATTCATTGATAGTGTTATTATTAAAGGAAAAATGTAAAATTTAGAATATAAGAACAATTGAGAAACATGGGCATACATGGGGTTTTCTTTAAAATTAATCAAATGAAATAATCATGAAACGTTTATTCATTGACGTAAATCAAATAAACGGGAGTCTAAAAAATCGAAAATCTAATATCTAAATAAGAAATATTGAAGTTAGAAGCATTCTAAATCATATGACATGAACCTGTGGGAAAATGCTTCTTAACACCTGAAGACATTGTCACATTCTATTGCACATATACAGAATAAAATATTTGGAGAACCATATAATTTTGAGAATGCGTATTGGTGAATAAATGATGCTTTACTCAGTTATTTTCAATTTTGACAAAAATTGCATGGGTTTGGAAAAACATCTTTTGTATAGTCTAATTCCAAAAAAAAAGAAGCGGCAATCGTAATCATTTTTATATCGTCAAACGCGTTGTGGTTTTCTTTATATTATTCGCAAAAAATCCTACGCCGATTTGCGGTAGGTTTGATTCGCAGGTTGTCTTTTTTAGTACGGCAACCAAAAAACCGTACTAAAAAATTGTTTCTCAGCAATGCGAACTGTTTAAATAACATCAACTTAACACCCCGTTTTGATTTAAGGCTGATTTTTCGAAGTGCAATTTATTCAGAAAATACCCTCAAAATATGAAATGAACAATCGAATTATTCGATTTTTCTGAACACGCATGAACATCTAAAATTTGATTTCTACGGCTATCTGAAACGAAACGCGGTACTGAAAAACGAAGGGGAAAAATGGTAAATAGGGTAGGAATTTTTTTTCAGAAGGAAAGTCGTACTAGGGACCATTTTACCAAATGGGATGGACAATTTTTAAAAGTTGGTCCCATTTGGCAGTCGCATTTCGCATCACAGCACTGATGTTTCTGGGGAAAAATCTACAATTTCCGGCACATAAATAAATATATTTATTTTGCCGAAAAAAAATCTTCTGAATCAAATTTTAGATGACGTTATGGGTATATTAATATAGAATTCGACGAGATTTTTTCCAAAATAAAATGAAAAAATTGCATTGTAGAACAAATAAAATGATTTATTCTAAAAATAATATTACTAGCCGTTGTCAGGAGTTGTTTGCAATAACAATGAAATTATTCCAGTTCAATCAGACATTTTATTTGAAAAATTGATCTAATTTATGAGCAAATTGCGATCAAAAAATCATTTTGTTACAAATTTACGATAAAATGCGATTTCTTTTCTATTGAAGACTATACTAGATACATTTTGAAGAGAAATTGCCCAAACTATTAATTTCCTGGCCGACCAGCGTCAAATTTGATTTATTTTTCATTATCGCCGCCAATTTCTGCTGCTACTGACCACTTGATTAGTAGTAATTGATACACTGGGCACGGAACTCAACAATAAATTGGCAATGTCACTTCCCGAATTCGACGGTGAAAAAACAACCGAAAACCAAAAATTATCGGTTATGGAAATGTCTGAAAACGGGAAAATGAGAAATATATTTCATTCGCAAAAAAAAAGAGCCGATTTACGGTGAGGTTGCTTCACAGGCTGTCTCTGCTACGATACTTGCCAAATTAGGAGTCGAGCAACGACACTCAAAAATTTACCAACTATACCACTCTTTGCTTAAATTTCTCAAATTGATTTTTAAAATCAAATTTAATATTATTATTTTTGATGATCTTACCGAATTGGAAAAACAAATTCGTTGAAAAAAATTACTGTTGAAAAATTCAACGCGGGTCAAACGGGGCGAGTCGACTAAATAGTCTACAAATACTCGGTCAAGGTGTCCGTTTTTTGTGACGGTAGCATACACTTAAATTGAGAAAAAAAATGTTTTTTTTTTTAGCTTAACGTATACCAAGACTGGCATTAAGTGACACAAATAATTCCATCTGCTGACATATTCCAATAAAATAATTCACTTCTAATTACATTTTCTAACAACTGTCATTCTCAGACAGGTGAATTTAGACATTGGATCTTAAAAAACAGTATTTTGATTATTAAACAATTCATTCATAACAAACATGACGTTCTACTAAAATCTCGGCAAACTCATACAATAAATATAGAAAAATGTAAGGTGAGGAGAGATCAACAACGACGAAAAAAAATGAAGAAATTTGACAAAATAGGTAACAACAAAACGTCAATTAAAAGAGTACCAAAGGGAAGAAGAAAAGCACAATATCAAACCGTTTCCAGTATTTAGGCCTAATTTATTCTTTTCGCGGCGCGCGACGATGTCTCGTCTTACCGTCTTCTTTCTTGTCTTCTTCGTCGTCCGACTGTAATTCAGAAGCTGGCGTCACCTGCAAACGATCATTTCCATTCACCTTACAATTAGATTAAAATTGCAGTTTAGTTTTCAGGCTAAATCCAATGCCTGGTTTTTAAACGAATTATCACCAAATATTAAAAAAAAAAACAATAAATAATAAATACGAATTTTTGTTTTGTTGGGGAAAAATGATTTTGTTTGATAATACATAGGAATTTGAGAAGAAAAAAATGTAGGGTGGATTGTCGAAGAGAAAATTGGAGCATACCTTGCTACTCCTTTTAGTGAGTAATCTTCTTTCTTCTCTTCTGCGAATTTCTTCTTCGTCGTAATCCGAATCAGAATCCGAACGCACATCTTTAGCTTGTCCACCGCTTGTGGTTCGAATCAAAATGCGCAAGATGATAAATGTCCAGAAAATATGCAAAAACAAAAGACAAATAAGAGCGAAAACAATGAGTCGTGGGGCATACGGTACCTGCAGAACTCGAATTAAAATACGTAACAAGAAAAATTAAAATGGAACTGACCATTTTCAAATCCCAAAGAGAATAATCTGGCTGAATGAGGTCTGCCGCTTCAGTGATAGCCGATCTGATAACAACAAATGGATAATATCCCAACCTGGTGAGGATCCAACTGAAATGGATTTTTTTTCACTTTCAAAAAAGTTTTAAAGAATATCTACCTTCCGAAAAACAAAACAAACATGAAATTCGTTAATTTCTTATTATGGGCATCATAACGAACAAGCTTTCCTCCTTCCAAAAAGACATCAGCAACATCATGGGATATTAAAATAAGAGTACCAACTCTGAAATTTGGGATTTTAATTGTCATCTCGCCAACAGCAAACAAAAAATGTTTTCAATCCGTCGCAGATTCTGGAGACATTCAGCAAAATTTACGCAAAATCGTATAAAAACAGAATTTTGCCTAGAAGTTAAGGAAAAAACCAAACCTAACAAAATTGATGGTCCAACTCGATGAGAGCAAAAAGACTGTGATTATGTGATGTATCATAAGTTGATAAAAGTCGGATCTTCGCTCATCGAACACCGACGCGATGAGAAGTGAGTAGTAGAATCCTGTCTCGATCATGTAGTACCACCTGAATTTTCGAACCAATTACCATTTTTCAAAAATTACTTTTATTTTATCATTCAAAAACTTTCCGAAATTTTTAGATTTTTCTTTGATTATTTATAATTTATGGAATCTATTTTAAATATCCGAAATTATTACCAAATTAGGTCAGGAACAGGATGGAATGGATAACCAATCCAGCATTGTTTCACATCATATAACCATGATTGATCCTTCATCACATAGATCCCGTATAAAAATGCGAATGTATAATAACTGAATCTCCAAAAACATTCGAGAATCTTTTTTGGTCGCGTCACCCGTGCGAATCCACCCGACAAATGATCCCACATCTGAAAATTATCATTTTCAATTTTCTTTACTGTGTCTTTTTCGTCAATCAGTGCTTCAAATGGCTAGATAAGAAAGTCGCATAGTTTCCAATAATTATCATCTGTTAAACTCAAACTGATAAGGAAATCGCTCAACGCGTGGCTTTTGCTCTGTTCGTCGAATGATTCATTGATAATTGGAGAAAAATTTCAATTAAAAAACGTACATTTTCAAATAATGTTGCTTCTCTTCGCAGTGCGTAGGCATTTGTTCGATAGTATAAATACGCAACACCTATTGTCGATTCCCATATTATTCTGAAGGCATAGTTTTGATTTTTAAAAAAAGGAAATTATTCTTTATAGATATTTTATAGTTGTCATCGAATTCTATAACAAAACTAGTGATTTTGAAGTTTTTGAAAATTTGATTTTTGATTTTGAGTTAGTTGTATTTGTTTGAAATGGCGCCACAGAAATTGTTTCAACGAGATTCTCTTTCAAAACTATACTATACTCGTAACTTCAGACAATATGACTAACAATAGCGTTATCGAAACAAATTCACATGGACACTCTGACGAAAGCATCAGAGAACAGCAGAACATATCAAAACAGTACAAAATGTTTTGAAGTTCTGAGAGATTTTATTGATATTTTCAGAATATTTTTTTTTTACAATCATAAGCTCAAATGTTTAAAAATTAATTAAATCGTAGTTGAACTTCTAATCTGCTTTGAAACTCTTTTCAACTAAAAATAATAAATATACAATTTTGTAATTTTGAAACAAATGATTGGTTTAATTTAAACTTTTGAAACTAACTCGTCTATTCCGTGTTATGTATTTCATTTCTTTTCGATATTAGAACACGCTACCTGAATAAAACAAGTGGGACAGCGAGATAAATGGGCACGAGCAAATCGCTGAATTTGGGTGGCAATTGCTGCCAGGTGACATTTCGCGGCAACCAATAGGTTTCGTCCCAAAATGGCATCTGAAACGCAAGTATTTGGAATAATAATGAGGGAGGCGGGATGAAAGCGACGAACTGCAATAGAAAACAAAACCAGTTTCAACAAAAAAATGTTTCGGGAGTGAAACGAAAAAGAGTAATTACACTCACTCAATGCCACAAAATATCTGTCAGTTATTGGGAAGAAGACGAACGAACGAATGATCTCCTACGAGTGTAAACAATTGTGGAAAATTAGCCCAAACATGGCATGCGATCAAATGAGGTTTCCCGAAGGCTCATGTCGTGCAAATGGAATTTTCGAAGCCCTTATGCCTCTCTACGAATTGGTATAATATAAATAATTATATGTTGATATATTAATACCGTGTGGTAATACAGCGACGGCACAGCGAAATGGCGAGTGCTGCACGTCTCGTGTGCATATGTTCTCTCCGTGTGTCTCAGCCAGTTTTCTATTTCTCTTTGTATGAATTTCCCTCTCTCTCTCTTTGCTGTGTGTGCGCGCACTTTGAGAGTATATAAAACCGAGTGCAAACCGCCGCAGTCGTCGCCGCAGACGCTAACGACGCCAAGGCGACAGATAGGCAGCTGAGCCGTCAATCTATGAAATAACACAGTTGGCTCAAAACGCACACAGAAAAGGGAAGAAGCGCGAATAGGAACTGTGGAAATGTTGAGAAGAATGCTCAACGGCCAATGAAAACTATCTGGAAATACTGAATAGAACCGATTTTTATTATTTAAAACCCTGTTTGGAAAATCAATTTCAGATAAAATTGTTGAAGAGAATTTACGACACTGAAAGCAGTCATGCAACACCCGATTTTGGAAGTTTCAAATAATAGAGTACATCAAAGACAAGAAAAGAGCACTCATTCGTTGTTTCTGTTCAAATTAATCCAATGCAAACATGAACAAGCCAGTCTACATGACTGTAAAAGTTGAATTTTATAGTCTGTTTCTGCAAAAAACTTGTAACCAGAATAAGCGGGACTCAGTGAAAAAAATCGCACGGAAATCCGTGCAACATCGTTTTTCCGCACGAATTGCAAAGTGCATGCTTTAATAACCGTATAACTAAAAAAAACATTTTAAAAAATTCTCAAATTATTTTCAAAACCATTTATTCCTGATTTTCCTGGTTTTTATTCAATTAATTCTTTTATTTTAAAGAAATTTCTGAACTAACGAATTTCGATCGTAAAATGAAAATAAACGAAACGGCTTAAAACAAAAAAAAAAACATTAGTTGAGTCTTGTGACTACAGATTCCCGTAACGGATTTTTCCAGAAACAGCTTCTGGAAAAAAGCTGACAAGCTTCTGAGAAGCTGACAATATATTAAACACAGAAAAATAAGTTTTCCTCTAATGCTATTTACCATAATACTCGATTTATTATAAATGGCATGTATAAATTTTTAGCAAAGATATGAACATAAACCATATATGATAATGACTCAACGTAGCGCTATTAGGTTTCGTTATCTTATCATCAAGTCACTCCACCTAAACGTTCAGGACACAAAAAAAGTATGAGTAAAAAGTCAAAAAAGCTTTTAATATCTTTTTCGATAAAATTAACGAAATATAAACAATTGTTAAACTATTAAATGAAAATGAAAGCCAACCATAAATCACACAGCGTGGTAGTCGCATTAAACCAACATTGAAGAGCAAATGTTCAAAAAGTGACATAATGCGCAAAAATAGGAAAGCGTTGGAAGGATTTGCGTTGCGTGGACAACAAAATGGAAACTTCTGAATAAAAGAGAGAATGAACTGTGGTCTGGTCGGAGAATATGAATTTGCTAAAAACAAAATTTTTCGAGCGGCGAGATTTGAAAGAATATAATGTAAAAGAAAAATCATGACATTTTTACATGTCTATGCATGAAATCTTAAATTTTTTATTTTCAAAATATACAAAAAATTAATGATTTATGGCTAAAACCGGTTGAAATGTTTAATCTTGAGATTGTCCGTATACACACGCCGCAATAATACAGAATACAGTACATTTTCCCACGAAAACGGTTTATTGAAGCGATACAATCAAATATTTTACAAGACAAAAAATTTAATGAGGGGCGTATTAAAATACAATTGAATACCGATTCCGAAGCAATACTTGATTCGAAAATGTGAAAATACCCTTGGATGTGGTTTTTGATGTTTCATTTTGTGCGGTTTTTGATAAAAAATGGCTTGGGAAAATAGCCCGATAAACAAGTGGAAATGTTAAGGAAGAAGAGCAAAAGATAGATAAAATACAATAGCAGACTTTACTCCTAACAAAGCTGATCAATATTTCATAATTATATAATTATGGGAGCGATAAGATTGAAGTTAGTTCACTGAAATCGTGTGAGCATCACATAGAGTGCGCGTTGGGGTTCATCCTTCGGCATCACAATTGGCGGAGAGCGATGTGAGCCACGGAATGTGTCATATCTTATTGATTGGATCTGAACAAAAACGCGTTCAACATTCACTCTCGTTTTTTTGCGATATTACCGTGATTGGGAATCTTTTCTGGATGAGTTGACAAGCCCGATGATTGCTTGCCAATGCAATGGCCCCATCGCAGTGATCATCTCGAGCAGCAGCCATGCTACAATTACACATACAGTTAATCGGTGTCCGGCTATTGCTCGATTAACGGATGCGCCATTCAAAAATGGTCCCGTCACTCATGAACGCTTGCTTTTTTTTATTTTCACGAGAACTGTTTCATTTTTCTTGATAAGTTTGTTATTTCATTGAGTTTCTAACGTTAAAAGAATAATTTTTAATTTCAAAATGTCCTCTAAAATGCAAATTAACCAGTTAGTTCGCGCGAGAGCATAGCGAAAGACGAATGCTCGCAAATCTACCGACAGTCGCCGGACGCCGAATAGACAAAGACATTGTCTTATTGATTTTTTAAACACATTTTAGTCTTTCGTCGAACTCTAGCACTGTTTGCATGTGATTTGTGAGCAAATGTATTTTCCTACAGTCAAGCAGAAATCACAACAAATTATTCAATACTCACCATGCATCGAGCATTGCACTAGCGATCCCTTGACCCCATTTTTCTTTTCGGACGGATACGACGGCCACGAACACCTGAATAACACATTCATCGAAGGTTAATTGGGTTTAGTATACCGGCTTAAAGACTTTTTGCTCTTCGAAGTGATATGTAATGTCAAGACGATTGAATACGTATTTGAGGAATTCGACCGCAGTTGCGACTTGTTCTTCAGTGAACTGATATTCACAGAGGCGATCAATCTACAATCAAAGGGAAATTGCATTTTTAGTTAGGAAATGAAAAGAAGCAAATGTGCGGAAATAATGCACTTCTACGCGTAGAATAAAATAGAAAACGTCGTTTCTTACCTGCATATCGAAAAGAGAGGCTTTGCTGGCCAAACAGACTCCGTCGATCTTCTGATTCGCCGGGTTTCTGATAACCGAAGTAGAAGAGCATTGTATGCAGTCGCGCACCAAATCGGTCAGCATTATTGTGATCTCTTCTCTGGAATCGAATCAATTCAAATGAAAAACGAACATTTATTGAAAAACGAACTGTTTCTGCATCTCCAAACTCGCCAAAATCACCTCTGCAGTGACGAAATTCTCAAGGAGAAATTGGACAATTTCCTCTACATCATGCGATTGTGGCCTCTCGATTTGATACTTCCGACTCATTCCTGTAAAATATTATATTTCAATCATTTTCAGAATTCATCAATTGTTTAATTAATTTTTTATAAACAAAAAATTGAACATGAAATTATTATTGCGAATATTTCGAATCACAATGAAATTCTTTTCAACCAAAAAAATTGTTTGAGATGGGTTATATGTTAACACTTCTAATAATCATCATTTTGAGCGATATAAAAAATGAAAGAATAATAATCTTTTTACCATGTTTTTTAAGCAAATAAAGAACTTCAGACTTGATGATGTTGAATATACTAATAGAAGTGTTTATATATTTCACTACGAGTTGTAATTAAAAATGGGAGGTTTGAGAGAAAGACAAAAACTAGTTTGGATGCGCATTTTGCAGGAATAGCAACAACTCGATTCAAAATTCACACGATGTGCCTAATTGGGAGTAGGCGAAAAATAAAGCCGCTTAGATTTGTCGATGAAATGTTAATGAAGAAGGAAAAACGAGGCGTTAAAAACGGAAGTGCATCTTGAGGCCCAAAGGGGCCCAAGAAACGATGAAGAAATCCGAAAATAAAAACGACCGATTCCTGAAAAAATGTCGAACCACGACAGCGGCGGCGACGGACCGACGGGTATCAGGGGAATTCGACGGCGCCGTTCGTTTCAGATGAAAAATGATATAAGAAATATGGAAGACCGGCTTTCGCGCTCCTTCTTCTTCTTCTTCTTCTGGCGCAATGAAGAAGTCGTCGTATTTGTGTTGGTGAGCAGAAAAAGATGGGCAAAATGAGAGAAGCCGAAGCATGCTTCTATTTGCTCTCATTTTTGTTTGATATTAAATTTCACAAAAATGGTCATGTGTTTACCAAAACTTTCAAGAATTCTCAACCATTTTAGTTGGAATAATGAGAAGTTTATGCGAAGAAAAACCTCTGGCTCATTTGGAATTTCAATGAAGTTCGGACAACGTTTTCTGACAATCCTCATAAGGAAAAATCTACTCTGAAAAATCGATTTATTTTGTTGATGCTTTCTAGTTAGGAATTATCGCGATGAATAAGAATGCTAATGAATATTTGTTGAAAAAAATTATTATAATTTAAGTTCCCGCCCATTTTAACAACCATGGCGAAGGGATCAGGGACCACTTTCAAAGTCACTTTGTTGTGTTTTTACAATTTTGAAAATTATTGCAATTGTTTCAGGCAGTTACTATTCATTGTGTATTATCGGCTGCTGGTAGGCGGGGCCTTCAAATTCGCGCGAAATCAGCGCCAATTAAAATTTATCGCTGACTGAATCTCGCTGTGTGGCCGAGCAGACACCTTGGCTCATGGCCAATTTATTTTAAGTTTCGACCAGTCGACTTATTCACGCGAAATCCAGGCAGCTGAGGAAATATAGCGCCCAGGAAATATAGTGCTCATATGATTAAACACATTGTAAGCCACAAACAATACTCATCAATCGGCAATTGGACCAATGACAGATTGAAAAAGGTGTTAAAATTTAAACCGTAGAAGATATCAGAAAACATCACACAATTCTGGTGGAATCTCCATTGTCACCCTCAAAAATTGTTTTTAAAAAAGACCTCTCGTGAAAATCAAAAAAAAAAAACGAGAACGAAATGAAATCGAGCATTGGAAATTTTCAGTTTTTTTTTTCTCTACAAATGTGAAAAAATTGTAATTATCGGAACGAGGGAAGATATGGAGGAATTTATGATTATTTTATATTAATTCCATTTAAATTTGGGACGAATTTCAAATAAATATTTGGCAAACAAGCCGTGCCTCTTGAAATTTTTCAATGAGACAATCTTTGGGAAAATATTGCGTCTATTTGACATATTTCGCACACGGCGAGCATTTTTCGTCGGCACTTATCTCGGAAAAGAGTAAAACTGTAGTAAATATCAAATTTGCAATGCAAAATTACATACATACAGTGCGCGTCATAATGATACGCCACCCCCCAAATTTTGCAGTTTTGAGAAAACCATATAAATTGGTGACAAGACAATTTCATTTTCGAATTCAGGGTTATTGAAAACCTATATGTGCGTATTTTCATGAGGGTCCGTTGGTCCGTATCCACACAGCCCGAAAAAGTTGGATTTTCAAGCGCGTCATAATGATACGCCACCCCCTATTTTTTATCTTTTCTTTCGGCATTTTTGCATGTTTCTTGCTTACTTTTCTGTATTTTGTACAATTTTTCAACAATCTTATCTTTATATCCATTAAGCAATCGTCCGTTTTAGTTTTGGCTTGAAATCGGGCCGAATTCGGTCCTTTGAACGACTTTTTTTTTATTTAAGGACTAAAACGCAAGAAAAAGGTCTAAATATCCAAAGTAAAACAAATTTGAATGCAAGAACACGACAAATTCAATGATTAGTAGTCAATCCATAGTTTTGGATCACTTCACATATTCGGTTTTTATTCTGTCGGTGAATTTCTTGAGGTATGCAACTGATCGACTGTTCCATTCCAGTCAAATTGCGGCCTTCAGCTCATCAAAGGCTGGCAAGCTACTGCTTGCATTCTGTGTGCGGACAGCCTGACCGATAATTTTTCACTTATTCTTCTCATAATCATCGGCCGCGGAAAATCTCTCACATTAGCTCACAGGAGAAAGCTCACATTGGCATTATGGTATAACTCAATCAGAGTGTCAAGCTGATTAAGGATGGTATCGGACGTTTTCGAAAATCTAACTGTATACGGAACTACGAAATTGCTTTAAAATTTGTTTCACGAATTTCAACAAGACAATCAAGTCATTCACAAGAGCTACAGCATCTTCAATTGGTTTTAGTATCAAACTCTTGGATGGATCAGCCAGTTCCCCAACTTCAATCCCGTCGAAAACGTCTGAAGACTTCTTGGCCATTTCGTTCGCGTACAAGGCAAGCAGAATGCCAACCTTTTATGAGCTGAAGGCCGCAATTTGACTGGAATGGAACAGTCGATCAGTTGCATACCTCAAGAAATTCACCGACAGAATAAAAACCGAATATGTGAAGTGATCCAAAACTATGGATTGACTACTAATCATTGAATTGAATGCATACAAATAATTTTTTATGAAAGAAAAGAAGTGATCGTATTATGTGGATTGTTTCGGTTATTTTAACACAAACTAAATTTAGGGTACTGTATTTGAAATGTTGCAATATTTGTATCAATTCATAGGAATACCGCTGATCCCGGCGAATAGCATTTAATCCAACATGAAAGCGCTCTAATGAAATTCGGATAGCCAAAGTACTATGTGCAGCCGAATGAAGCAATAAGAAGGAGAATGAAGACAGGAGAAGCGGGCGGACAAGAAAAAAAACTCGAAGCAAAGTGTTCTTGGTACATATTTGTGTTGTTCTCAAGTGTGAGAAGTGGCATTGAAATCCGACACTTTTGACTAATTAAATCTGCAACGAAAGCAAGAGGGCACGAGAGATTCGGAGCATTCGGAGCACTACCGCGTTTGATGTTTCAAACTTTTAATTTCCTAACCTCGACGACTAGCATCGAGAATAAGAAAACGGAGAAGGGAAGAAAACGGAAAAGATGGAGACAAGACGAGTTTGGTGATTCGTACCATTTCCGATGAGACGGCGTCCAAATGGAATTGCGTGTCACACAGCTAAAACTCGACTAACTAAATAATAGAGAAATCAACGCGACATTCGGATGGACTCATTTAAAACCGACGGCGAAGGAATGCTGACGGAAGACGGGCTGATCGATGGGTAGACAGACCGACAATGAATTGAGTGAGTAGCACAAGAAAAATGAATGAATGAATGAATGAGATGGGACGGATTAGTCGATGAGAATTGAAAAATAATTACCTAGACGTATGTACTAAATTTTGTCACAACAATTTCCTAATTAGCAATGAACAGCTTAACCACAATATTATGACAATTTGCTAAATCGCCTTGCAAATCAAAAAAGGAGCTAACGTGAAACAAGATACCCCCAATTGTGATTAATCTCTTTAAAATCAAGATAATAGAAGGAAAATTAAATTATGGTGATTGTTTTCGCGTGACTTTTCCCAATATTATGAAATATTCGTGTACAGGCGGTTCCTTGAAACTTGCGGACCACTTATCTTGGTCACATGTAGCATTCTTTTTGTCGCATGATGTTTCTGCACGTGTTTATTTTAGCGTATTTACAAACGTCTTTAAACATTTGTTGAAGTTGCCTGAATTTCTTCTAGAAAATTTGCAAATACCTTCGGCAATGAAAATCATGTGCCATTGCAATCGTATAAACAATTATTTAAGCATGTTTTCCCAATCAAACTTTTTTTTTAAACATTCTGCGATGATGTTTTGTTTTCCCAAATTTTCGCGAAAACTTCAATTTCTAGCAAGTTTCAAATATTTAAGACTTCAAAAATTAATGGTAAGAACGCGCCTAATTTGCCATTTGAAAAATGTATACAATCAGTAAAAAAAATGAAGCATTTCGATGTTTCGATAGAAGCTATATGATCATTGAAACAAAAGTCACTTGCCAATTTTTTATTGGTCATATTCATATTTATTGGTAGATCGCGCGAATCTGTTTTTCTCTTTTTTTTTCAATAATATTATTTTTGCTTTTTATTTGAATGAAAACAGCAAAACATGAAAGCACACTCTAAAGAAACTTCGAAAAAAAAAACGTTTCAGTAAAGCACAGCTTTTAAACTTGATTAATTGCACTTTTGACGAGCTTCGTCAAGTGTACCCAGGAAAAGCGGTCCCAAAAATAATTTGCTTGGGGTCGAAGCTTTTTCGACAATGGAAAGGGACTACCCATTATAAGTTATTTCCAACTTTCTGTGTATACCACCAAAATTTTTAGATTTAAAAACTACAAATCGATGAGACGTAAGAGAATTCAATTTGACCGATTCGGCTCACAAACACTTCATAGCCCAAAATCATCATAAACAAAGGCATTGGGCTCAAATAAATTGTCTACAGTGGGCGTGGCTTAATGGGCCATCGTGAAAGAAAGCGTGTT